ACTAGTGTGCTGTGCAAAACTTTAATGGAATAAGTAAAGGTTGTTGTCTGAACATGGAGGGTGACCTGCTGTCTCTCTTTATGAGATACTTCTCTAACCTCCCTCCCTCCCTCTCTTCCAATAATTCTGTGTTATAGGCAAATAATGCTGTGTGTAGGTTTGATTGGATTAGGTCAAAGAGTCCTTGGCTCAAGTCTAGCAAACAAAACCTTTGACTGCCACTCAGGATCTTAAAAAGAGCTATGTTGGATTTTACTAGTCTCAGATCCAGTTTCCTGAAGCAGTCAACCAGTTGTCTGCAGGAAGTCCATAGGTAGTGTGTGATAGAAATAGATCTCACCTATAATATACCGTCCTGCCTCCTGCATTCTGAGGAATATTACCTCTGGATATAGAGAATCTGTTTATGGCTAATATATGGGGTTCATTGTTCCCATATGGCTCTTATCCTCCACAGATTAATTTAAACTCCTAGTGAATCCTGTGAGCCAATGGCTTTCATCACCTTTCCTCTGTCCTGTATCTACTGCTAATAAATAGCACTGAGCTCTAGTACGATGGATGGAGGGAAAACATCTATTTAGGTTGCAATCCTATGCACAGGTACAGCAGAGAAAATCCGACCGAATGTCCCTCGCCCTAAATGTAGTTTTTTACCCTAATTCTCTCATGCCTCTTTGTCAGAGGCCAGTTCTGCCAGCCACGGCAAAGCTCAGTGGAGTGAGATAATTATTATTTTATTTCAACAAAGTAATAATCATAAATGAGGGACGCGGGTGGCGCTGTGGGTTAAACCACGGAGCCTAGGACTTGCTAATCAGAAGGTCAGCGGTTCAAATCCCCACGACGAGGTGAACTCCCGTTGTTCGGTCCCTGCTCCTGCCAACCTAGCAGTTCGAAAGCACATCAAAGTGCAAGTAGATAAATAGGTACCACTCCGGCGGGAAGGTAAATGGCGTTTCTGTGTGCTGCTCTGGTTCGCCAGAAGCGGCTTAGTCACGCTGGCCACATGACCCGGAAGCTGTAAGCCGGCTCCCTCGGCCAATAAAGCGAGATGAGCGCCACAACCCCAGAGTCGGCCACGAGTGGACCAAATGGTCAGGGGTCCCTTTACCTTTTAATAATCATAAATAAATAAGAATTAAAATGTGCACCCCACCACCGACACCATTCCATTGTAACTGTCCAACCTCCCAAAATTTCAACACCTCTTGTGATGGTTTGACCCCTTTCCGTTTTAACAACAGTGTTTGGTGTTTGTAGAGTTTGTTTATACAATCCAGTCCTAAGGTCAGGAGTTATCTCAGTTTGCATAGTCAGACGATCTGGGGGTCAAGAAAGCCGAGGGTCCAAGGTCATGAGGAGCAAGAAGCAGCAAGGCCTGGTCAGGAACAACGAATGTTAATGTTTCCAGCAACTGACTGAAGCTGGAAGCACTGCTGAAGAAAGCTGGAACCAGCTGGTTCTTATCAGAAGCATGAAGGCTGATCAGCAGTAGGTGGGTTCGCCTTCTGCTCCTTCAGGCTGCTGCTCAGCAGGTGAAGCCAACTCCTGGCCCTTTCCACTATTGCTAATCTCTCTATCTATCCCCCTCTTCTCCAATGTATATTGTGAAGCATTTAGACACGGGCCATTTCACTTTACAGCACTGTTCTCTTAGATGCTGTTGAGCTACAACTTCCATCACTCCTGACCCCTGTCTAAGTTGGCTTGGAATGATGGGAGTTGTGATCAAAAATGTAGGGATCCAAGGTTGAAGAACACTGCTGTACAGTGCCAAGCACAATGTCAATGCTATATATTATGGATTAATAAACTGATCAGGGTTAGGTGCAAGCAGAGATGTGGAAGCCAAGGCTATTGCTATTATTATTATTATTATTATTATTATTATTATTATTATTATTATTATTACCCCGCCCATCTGGCTGGGTTTCCCCAGCCACTCTGGGTGGCTTCCAACAAAATATTAAAAATATAAATAACAGGGGTGGCAAACTTCCAAGAGAGTGTGATCTACTCACAGAGTTAAAAACTGGCAGTGATCTACCCCCTTTTGGGGGGTTCAGGGAAAAGTTGTTGAGCTTTCTTTAGGGAAGAGGAAAGCAACGTTGAACTTTTTTTTAGGAAGGAAAGCCCTGTTTTTGGTGGTTCAGGTCATTTTAGGGTGCAGAGCAAATATGTTGAGCTTTTTTTAGGGGAGCCAAAGTTTTTTAGCTTCTTTGGGGGGAGCCACTGATCTACCGGTGATCTACCACAGACATTGAGTGATCTACCTGTTGGACATGCCTGCAATAAAACATCAAACATTTTAAATTTCCTGCTGCAGGGCTGCCTTCAGATGTCTTCTAAAAGTCAGATAGTTGTTTATTTCCTTGACACCTGATGGGAGGGCATTCCACAGGGTGGGCGCCCCTACCAAGGAGGCCCTCCGCCTGGTTCCCTGTAACCTCACTTCTCGCAGTGAGGGAACTGCCAGAAGATCCTCAGAGCTGGACCTCAGTGTCTGGGCTGAGTATTGAGGTTGGAAATGCTCCTTCAGAAAGCCCTCGGCCTAGTTCCTTGTAACTTCGCTTGAGGTCCTCATCTGAATTTTGAATTCTTAATTTGACAACTATAATGTTCTTCCCTTGGACTGCCATTGAAGACAGTTCAGAAACTTCAGCTGATTTAGCACATGGCAAAAATGGGTGCTCCATTGTCTTATACAGTGGTACCTCGGGTTACATACGCTTCAGGTTACATACACTTCAGGTTACAGACTCCGCTAACCCAGAAATAGTACCTCGGGTTAAGAACTTTGCTTCAGGATGAGAACAGAAATTGTGCAGCGGCGGCGGGAGGCCCCATTAGCTAAAGTGGTGCTTCAGGTTAAGAACAGTTTCAGGTTAAGAATGGACCTCCAGAACGAATTAAGTACGTAACCAGAGGTACCACTGTATTGCTCTTCTTCCCACTCATTTTTAGTTAATTTCTGGGCTTAATTCAACATGATAGTGCTAAACTTTAAACCCTTTAGGCTTGAACACTAAAAATTGAAAGGAAAAGAGAAGCTATCCAGAGCTCTGGGATGAAAACAGTACTTCTGTCAACAGTGGCAAACAAACCACTCAGCCAATAACAGAAGGAGCTTCCACATTGTCACTATTTTCATGTAGAATTCAATTCACATATCGGAAAATTCAGGTGATAACTGCTCTTGCACAACAGCCCCTATCTCTGGACTTTTTGCAATAAGGAAAGTGAAGGTGAATGCACTGGAAAGTGTAGAAAAATATCGGCATCATCTAAGCTTCCTGAAAACAAAGCAGAATGTGTGCTCAATAAATAGCAAAAATCGTCTAACCTTCCTGCAAACAAATCAGGAAAAATGCTCAACGAAAAGGTCATCTGGGTGCAACCAGAGTGAACATTTGAACAGTAACTATAACGGGCAACTCTGTTACTATGTTTATTGCTCTGCTTGTAGGCTGCTGTTTTTTAAAAAATTGGTGAAAGGCAGGAGGTAGGACTTGGGTATTAGGATTATAGAAAGTACACCAAAAAAAGCCACCCCAGACTGTTGAAGATCTTGTGGTGAGCTTGGGACTTATCTGCACGTGTGGTGGCCATGCCATAGGGACAATTTCCTTTTCTGAAACCACCCTTTTCACAGATCAGCCTTTGAATACGCCACCAGCCTTAGCCCTATTGAACTTATTTAAGATGCTAACCAAGATGTTGCCTCCAAAGACTTGTTGCTTCATCTTTTACTGCCAGTGCATCTAGAGATAACGCACTGGGGGAGCTGGAGCGTCATTCCCTCGACTCACGATATGGTCAGGTTTGGACTGTTGCTTCAGCCGAGGAATAAACCTGTCAACTTCACAAAGCACCCACAAAAACAGACAAAATTTTCCATCGCTTGCTATTCCTTTATTCAATCGGGATAGAGACAACAACTACTGACCATGCCTGGCCAGGTGTGAAAAGACATGCTTGACATTGATCTGCACCTGGATGATTCTATGATGCCATGTGCTCACATCACCAGCAATGTTGTTACATTTGCAATTGCCTGTCATTTTTTTGATTGGTTTGAAAATAGGTAAAGGTAAAGGGACCCCTGACCATTAGGTCCGGTCGTGACCGACTCTGGGGTTGCGGCGCTCATCTCGCTTTATTGGCCGAGGGAGCCGGCGTACAGCTTCCGGGTCATGTGGCCAGCATGACTAAGCCACTTCTGGCAAACCAGAGCAGCACACGGAAACGCCGTTTACCTTCCCGCCGGAGCAGTACCTATTTATCTACTTGCACTTTGACGTGTTTTTGAACTGCTAGGTTGGCAGGAGCAGGGACCAAGCAACAGGAGCTCACTCCATTGCAGGGATTCGAACCGCCGACCTTCTGATCGGCAAGTCCTAGGCTCCGTGGTTTAACCCACAGCGCCACCCGTGTCCCTATGGTTTGAAAACAACAGGGGCTTTATTTTTTTGTTTTATTTTTTTAAAGGAGGGTTTTGTATGTGTGGTGGAGAAAGGGGCACTGAGGGACTGGTGGGAGCTGGGGAAATAGATGACCAGCTTCTTGGTTTCCTCTTCCCGATAATTTTCTGACATAGGTATTAGATGATGTATGATTTGGATTTTCTGTGTGCAGGTAGGGAGAAAAAAGGGAGTTTTGTGCTTTGCCCACCCTGCTTGGAGATGCCTACGCTCTGAACCCATTAGGCAAATGAACCAATTTCTGAGGTGACCCACAATCCACACTGGAGTGCCCAGACCACGGTATCACTTCTGCTTTTCTTCCAGTGGACTTAGCAGTGTCACTGTCACCATGAATGGGATCTGCTGGACTTAGCTCTGCTCCCTGACATCACTGCAGTTGTAGTACAATCCCCACCTGTCAGGCCCAGAAGGGAAATCCCCACTATTTGCCTGAGTCAACCTGTGGCAGAGAATATAAATAGAGGGATCCTGGTTCCTCAAACAATCAGTCTCAAGGCAAGTCCTCGTGAATCATCCCAGGCTCTATCTGAATTCCTCAGAGATGCAGAGCAACTCAAATAACCTCAGGGCAAGCTGTCTTCTGGGCTTCTTGCTGCTACTGGTTGCTGCTTCCATGGGGATGAGGCTGCCCAGGGAAAACAAGCCTTCCTGGAAGGATTGCAAAGATGCCTCGCAGGAGATACTCAGCGAGTTGTGGAAGCTGAGGCTAGAGGAGAAGGTGGTGGTGGTGAGTAAAAATAGAATTCCCCGCTTTCGCTCAGCAAAGCGGTCTGAGGTTCCAAAGAGGAGCGTGGATCGCGACACAGCTCCAACAGCGAAGGCCTTTGCATCGCGACACTTTTAAAGGCCGGTTTATTATGGCCTGTGCTTTTTCTGGACCACTTTGTCAGATGCACATGAAATGGTATCCTGAATTGGCAAACTTTGGGGACGCATGCCAGTGGAGGGCTGGAATGTAAAGGAGCGAGTTTGGTAGGGAAATGAATTAAAGGATTGCAAAGAACGGACACTGACAATTAGCCTGAGAGCAGAACCGTTCTGTTCCCCAGACTGGCTTAGTAAGGTTCAGAAAAGTTCATTTGTGGGGCGTTTCATGATTGAGCATCCTTCACAGAAAAGTGACCTAGAGGTGAAAGGTTGCGGTTTAGAGATGGAGATGAATGGCCAAATCTATCCATTTCAGATTTTCTCAGTGTCTTCCCTTTTTATTATTATGAAGTACAGTTCTAAGGGACGCGGGTGGTGCTGTGGGTTAAACCACAGAGCCTAGGACTTGCCGATCAGAAGCTCCCATTGCTCAGTCCCTGCTCCTGCCAACCTAGCAGTTCGAAAGCACCGCAAAGTGCAAGTAGATAAATAGGTACCGCTCCGGCGGAAAGGCAAACGGCGTTTCCGTGCGCTGCTCTGGTTCGCCAGAAGCGGCTTAGTCATGCTGGCCACATGACCCAGAAGCTGTACGCCGGCTCCCTCGGCCAATAAAGCGAGATGAGCGCCGCAACCCCAGAGTCCGTCACGACTGGACCTAATGGCCAGGGGTCCCTTTACCTTTACAGTTCTCTACATTTCCACCTCAGTTTGCGATTTGTTTTTTTCAAAGTCCTCATGAAAATCCACCAGCATTTTAGTGCAACCACCATTTTGTATGCAATTTTGCACTGATATATATGGAAAGAAGTTACAGGGAACCAGGCAAAGGGCCTTCTTGGTAGTGGCTCCTACCCTGTGGAGCGCCCTCCCATCAGATGTCAAGGAGATACGTAAATACAAATTTCAGAAGACATCTGAAGGCAGCCTTGTTTAGGGAAGTTTTTAATGTTTGATGTTTTATTATGCTTTTATATTTGCTGGAATCTGCCCAGAGTGGCTGGGGCAACCCAGTAAGATAGGCAGGGTACAAATAATTAAATTATTATTATTATTATTATTATTATTACTATTACTATTACCTGCAAACCAATTTTCCGTAATATGAAGCATTTCTGATATGTTATTTTCACCATTTTATGCATTTATACTCACACTTTACTTCAGTATATGCATTTTTATGCCCATGTTGGCATTGTAGAATTCGGAGAAGTTCGCAGAATTTCAAAGGATAGCTGTCTTTTGGTTCTCATATTGTTTTAGAAAGTGCAGATTAGGGAGATTCACCTGTAAATGAGAACTAGATTGACTTTCTTCTCCCATCCCTAGTGGTGGAGCCACTCTTTTGCATTTATATTTAGTTATATTTATTTAATCCCCCCATTTCAGAGAAAACCCTCATAAAGTGGCTTATACATAAAACTGTTCTATCCATTTCAATAAAACATAGTCATTTTATATAGCTGCTGAAAACCTGTCATAATCTGGCAGGGCACTCCTAAAAACTAGTTTTAGTTATTATTATTCTATTCATAAAAAAATTATATTGTTAAAAGTATATCAGTGGTTTGTAGCAATAAAAATTAAATATGTACAACAAAATCCATATAAAAAAAGAAAAACAAAAAACAGACATCCATTAACCACTGTGGAACCAAGGTACGACTGTAGTTGGTCAAGGGAGCTGTGGACTCAAAAAGGTTGAAAACCACAGTCGTAAACCGTTAAAACACAGGCAGTTGGCTCAGCTAAAAACAGCCCCAAATAAAGGGATAGCCAAAGAGATTGTGCCCAGTGTTAGGCTGACTTTGTCCCCTTGAGAAGGAGTTCGAAAAATTCCATAATTGTTCTGCAAAAGATGTATTTGGCAAAACTGCATACAAGCATGTGTCTATTGGGAGGAATCAGTGCTAAAACGCTGGTGTAGTTTCCTGATGATGATGATGTGTGTGGAATTCTGGGGAACTGAATCTGACTGGGAAAAAGTAAAACTGAAATAGATGGATTCAACCATCTCTACCACTGGTATACCAGTTCACATCACCCTAATCATTGGGCATGTTGCCTGGGGCTACTGGAAGTTGTGAGTCCAATAATATGTGAAGAACCACCAACACCCCTACTTTAACGAGAGGCAAGAGGTAGTGATGATCTTCAGACCACATACATAAGTTCACAGTCCTCTACTCCATGTTACTTACAGTGCAATCCTATTCATGTTTACTTCAGTCAAAAGTAAGTCCCACTATTTTCAGTTGCTGTTATTCCTGGGTAAATGCACATAGGATTGTAGCCTTAATCCAGAGTCACTACCACCCCCTGGCTCTGCACTGGCAGTCACTGGTGTAGACAAGTAGTGCCAGATTTAGGGTGTTATGCCACAAGTTGAGGGGGCACAAAAATGGAGAAAGATCCGTAATTGAGAAGATCCATTTGTGGGCGCCAAATTTTGGCCTCGCAGAGGGTGCCATATTACGAAAGATTAGCAAAGTCTGCCCCCGGCACAAGTGGAGGAAGAGAAGGAGAAGGACAACAAAATGGTTACTGAGCAATGTTCTCCTATAAAGTCATTCTAGAATTTTCTGGTATTAAATTGTCCTTTAAAAATATCGAACACTTTCAGTTACCTATGTCAAGGAAGGCCCACTCCCCTCAGTTTGTCCCCAGGTAGGGATCAGTTTAAACCAGTGTTTCCCAAGCTTGGAGGCGCCAGCTGTTTTGGGACTACAATTCCCATCATCCCTGATGACTGGTCCTGCTAGCTAGGGATGATGGGTCTTGTAGTCCAAAAAAAACCACCACAACAACAGCTGGTGATGCAAGTTTGGGAAACAGTGGTTTAAACAATAGACGAGGCCATAAATACCCTCTTTATTTATTACTGCAGCAGGGCAGCACCTCCGGAGCCAATCTGAAGGGAACTGCCCTGAGAAAAGGGTTTTGACAGCTTTTATACCTTTCAATAATTGGTGAAATAAAAGAAAGCAGGGCGCATGCGCACACCAGTTTTCTTTGCATTTGTTAAATATAGCATCCCTGTCTTGTTGAGTTTCTCCACCCTTGCCACATGTCAGTCTCAAGACATTCAACTGTGTAGGATGTGACACAAGGTACTTGACTGTGTCACATGACAAGCTAGCATCTTTACCCAGTGACATTTAGCAGGGGGTTAAGAATTGCACAAACAACTGCACGGAACATTTCCCACGGCTCTCTTCACAGCGACGAACAAACAGTGAAGTCTGACCCAGCACATTTTGAAAACGGCAACTCCTCCTCGCATGTGGTTTTAAAAGTTTCGCATTCTCTCTCCTTCCTCTTCGTTTTGAAACCTTGTGAGGTGAAGCAATTGCTGTTTGTTTGTTTCCCCTGTTTAATATTCTAATATTGCAGCATAATTGGTCCTCAATTTCACATGATTGTGAGCGGAAACTCCATACTTTTACCATTCTCTAAACAGGCTTCCTCAGACTCGGCCCTCCAGATGTTTTGAGACTACAACTACCACCATTCCTAACCACTGGTCCTACTAGCTAGGGACTGTGGGAGTTGTAGGCCAAGAAATATCTGGAGGGCTGAGTTTGAGGAAGCTTGCAAGTCTAACAATTAAAATTCCACCACTCAGATGCAACCTAATGCTTCAGATGGTTTTAACCTTACTGGACCTTAACCTTAGTGTGGACTGCTGAACCATAATGATCTAGAGCTTGGGCTTATATCTTTGGATGGTTTCTAACCTGCTCACTCTAAGCCAGTACAACTCCCATCGTCCTTGACTGAAGGCCAAGTATGAGGAATCCAAATCAAGAGGGCAGCAGCCTAGCTACCCCTGCTCTCTAGTAACTAGATGCAAAGGAGAACCAGGTGACTCTAGAAGGCAGAAGGGCTGCCATCAGCGTTAGAGAGTGTGGTGCAGAGGTTAGAGTCGGATTAGGACCTGGGAGACCAGGGTACAAATGCCCACTCGGCTATGTGTAGATGTGTAGCTAAGATCCGTTGGACTGTTTCCAATATCAGGGGCAAACAGGGAATGATCTGACAAACACGCACACATAAATAAAGTGACAGGTTGACAGATACCGTTCTCAAACCCCGGGAAATGCTTGCTGCAAACCTTTTCTAGCTTGTAAGCTGCATTCCTTTCTGAGCAACCTTCATGTCAATGGCGGGTGGGATCAGAGACAAAGGTGGGCCAAGCACCTGAATATTACCTGAGGCTAGTAGGCTAGTTTCTACACACACACAAACACCTCATTACCCTCCCTCCAGGCAACCAAGTAGCATTACCAGCAAGAGCAGACAACATGTTGTTGTTGTTGTTTAGTCGTTTAGTCGTGTCCGACTCTTCATGACCCCCTGGACCAGAGCACGCCAGGCACTTCTGTCTTCCACTGCCTCCCGCAGTTTGGTCAAACTCATGCTGGTAGCTTCGAAGACACTATCCAACCATCTCGTCCTCTGTCGCCCCCTTCTCCTTGTGCCCTCCATCTTTCCCAACATCAGGGTCTTTTCCAGGGAGTCTTCTCTTCTCATGAGGTGGCCAAAGTATTGGAGCCTCACCTTCAGGATCTGTCCTTCCAGTGAGCACTCAGGGCTGATTTCCTTAAGAATGGATGCGTTTGATCTTCTTGCAGTCCATGGGACTCTCAAGAGTCTCCTCCAGCACCATAATTCAAAAGCATCAATTCTTCGGCGATCAGCCTTCTTTATAGTCCAGCTCTCACTTCCATACATCACTACTGGGAAAACCATAGCTTTTACTATACGGACCTTTGTTGGCAAGGTGATGTCTCTACTGCAGACAACATACCCTCCAACATTTCTCCAATGAAAATAGGGACGTCCTATTCCTTAATAATAATAATAATTTTATTATTTATATGCCGCCTATCTGACTGGGTTGCCCCAGCTTCCAACTTATATAAAAACATAAAACATTTTTAAAATTTTCCCTATACAGTGGTACCTCGGGTTGCATACGCTTCAGGTTACAGACTCCGCTAACCCAGAAATAGTGTTTTAGGTTAAGAACTTTGCTTCAGGATAAGAAGAGAAATCGTGCTCCAGCGGTGTGGCGGCAGCAGGAGGCCCGATTAGCTAAAGTGGTGCTTCAGGTTAAGAACAGTTTCAGGTTAAGAACGGACCTCTGGAACGAATTAAGTACTTAACCCAAGGTACCACTGTGCCTTCAGATATCTTCTAAAGGCTTTGTATAGTTACTTATCTCATTGGCTCAGGCGTCACATAACTCCATACCCTTCAACATTTCTCTGATGAAAATAGGGATGTCCTAAGGCGAAGCAGAACATTCCAGGATCAAATCAGAATCCGGGATGGCTTCTGTAACACTGGGATTATACCTGGAAAATAAGGACACTTGGAGGGTCTGAGACAGCGTGGTGAACAGGCCAGTCACCTGATCCCCGGTCATATGGTGGCTGTTTACTGGAAGGCAGAAGGGGAACAGAAAGGTTGGCGCGGTGCAGACACTGGCAGGAGTACAGGAACAGATCCCCCTGATGCATTTGCACCACGGCACCAACCTCTCTGCCATCTCACCCCTACCACTCTCTACCTCCCAGTATGCAGCAGCAACACAACTGAGCAGAGGCCAGGTGAGTGCTGCTGCCCCAGAACACTGCCTGCTATTTATTATCTGAGCTCAAAGGCGCATATCATCCAGATAAAAGTACTCAAGGTGCAAAGCACATAGCTGTCAACTTTCAGATTTGAAAATAAGGGATCAGCAGCCTCGAAAATAAGGGATCAGCAGCCTCACCTGTCCCGGGGGACAGTCTACGAGATATCTAACAATCTGGGATAGCGGGAAGCAGTGGGAAACGACGCTGGAATAAGGGAATTTCCCGCAAAAATGAATGAAACAGCAGAGGTGAGAAAGAGAGATTGTAAGGTGGAAGGCAAGGCAGGAGGAATACCAGAAGCGGGGCTTCAGGCCTGCTCAAGAGACATCTTTACACCGAGTTTCTCTTTATCACCCCCCCCCCCAGGAGGCAAATACGAGTGTTTCACTTCCCCAGAGGATTGAATGCAGTGACAAATGTGATCCAGATTCGTTGGACAATAATAAAATGGTAAGTGTTTTTGCGAGCACACGCGCTGAACCCTGTCCGTGGAGCCTATCCCCCAAAGAGAGAGACAAGAGACCAAAGTATGGGTTCAAATTAGCCACAACTTTATTTAACTTCAGAATGTGGGAAGCTTGGCATACGCCCTGGCATGTAACCCTCTCAGCCTGTCTGGGATTGAGGATGTGCAGGGCAATGTGGTACAGTGGGAGGGGACTGTAAAGCATAAACTTACACAGCGTGCCCTCCTACCTTACCTCCGCTGGGAGTTTGACCTACATGCTGCCGCTCTAGGGCCAGGGACTCCCGCAATCAACCCTTTAATGGGCCCTGCAAACACCGCCGCGTGGGGGTGCATGTAACAGTGGCGTAGCGTGGGGGGTGCAGGGGGGGCCAGCCGCACCGGGCGCAACATCTGGGGTTAGGGCAAATCCACAGGTTAGGGGGCGCAAATCCACGGGTTAGGGGGCGCAAATTACTTGCCTTGCCCCGGGTGCTGATAACCCACGCTACGCTACTGGCATGTAATGCCTCCCCCCCAACTTGAAGATAGACTAAAGGATACCTTAGGTAAAGGTAAAGGGACCCCTGACCATTAGGTCCAGTTGTGGCCGACTCTGGGGTTGCGGCGCTCATCTCACTTTGCTGGCTGAGGGAGCCGGCGTAGAGCTTCTAGGTCATGTGGCCAGCATGACCAAGCCACTTCTGGCAAACCAGAGCAGCGCACGGAAACACTGTTTACCTTCCCGCCAGAGCAGTACCTATTTATCTACTTGCACTTTGACATGCTTTCGAACTGCTAGGTTGGCAGGAGCAGGGACTGAGCAACGGGAGCTCACCCTGTTGCAGGGATTTGAACCGCTGACCTTCTGATCGGCAAGTCCTAGGCTCTGTGGTTTAACCCACAGCGCCACCTGCGTCCATAAAGGATACCTTGGCAAGGCCTAAAAACCGCCAACCGAGGCCCTAAGGGGCCTCGCCGCCAAGAAACCCACAGCTGAAGAACAAACACCTGTCCGCCCAATCTTTGAGGTCATGCAGCCAAAGCTCATTTCCCAGGTGGGGGGGTCAAATGCACCCCATCAGCCCTAAACAGCCCGCCCTTCTCCACTCTGATGGTGGGATGTGGAATAGTCTGCCAATTGGCCGCATGGTGTTGTCCATGGCCCTGTTGATTTCCTGCAACGCATACCGTAATTGATGCGAGAGGGCCTGTTAACCCCTCTCCAGCACAGGCAGGGAAGGAGATTGGACTAGCAGATGGTTATTGCCGGGTACATGGCCTGCAAGCTTTTGACGTCTGCCCTGGTGGCCAGGGTCAGGGCAACGCCTTTCCCCCACACCAAGTCGTTCTCTCCCAGGTGCAGAACCAAAACTTTTGGTGGTCTGTGCGCAGCTGCCACCCTCAGCAGCATGGGCATCAAGGCGGGCCCATGCATGCCCTGCCGGCCCATCCAATAGACATGTACCTTGGGGTGGATGTCAAGACTGCGGCCCCAGTCACGACGAGGCATAGGCTGCCGCCCCGTGAACAATGCTATGCCCCACCACCCATATCTTCAAGCTGGGGAGACCTGCAAGAAAACTAAATTGCAGCCAGTAGTGATGTATGGAAGTGAGAGCTGGACCATAAGAAGGCTGATCGCCGAAGAATTGATGCTTTTGAATTATGGTGCTGGAGGAGACTCTTGAGAGTCCCATGGACTGCAAGAAGATCAAACGCATCCATTCTTAAGGAAATCAGCCCTGAGTGCTCACTGGAAGGACAGATCCTGAAGCTGAGGCTCCAATGCTTTGGCCACCTCATGAGAAGAGAAGACTCCCTGGAAAAGACCCTGATGTTGGGAAAGATGGAGGGCACAAGGAGAAGGGGACGACAGAGGACGAGATGGTTGGATAGTGTTCTCGAAGCTACCAGCATGAGTTTGACCAAACTGCGGGAGGCAGTGGAAGACAGGAGTGCCTGGCGTGCTCTGGTCCATGGGGTCACGAAGAGTCGGACATGACTAAACAACTAAACAACAACAACAACAAGGATGGCGTGCTGGGACAAATGTAACCCTTGTACGCCTCAGAATGCCAGCAACCCAGCTCCTTGATGCGGGCAGAGTCTGGTCTGCCACTAAAGTGGCAGCCCCAATATGAAAAGAGTGCCCAAAGTATTTCAGGGGGTCACCGCCACAGGCCACTGTAACTTTATGCAAGACTGCTTGAGAAAAGGGCCCTTATGCTTGGGACGTACCCTAAGGAACCGGCGCATGTCAGGACACAGGCACGGGCCCTCCTGTTCTGCCGGGGCCAGTGTTAAGGTGCCCCCTTTCCTCAATTGGTCAGTTTTTGAAGACCAGATCCTGACCTTCAGAGTAGCCCCAGAGAACTTAATGTCAGTCTGCGAGGCCTGAGTGAGGGGAAGATGAGCCACACATTCCCCAATGCGCAGGGCACCGAAGGAGGCTAGGGAGACTGCTGCATGGAACAGACATATTTCATAATTTGACCAGCAGACCCCCAGTAATTTCCCCCAAATTAATCTAAAAGACAACATGGTCAGTAAAAAATAATAATAAAGCCTGTCTGTATCTGTTTCCAAAGGGGCATTAGTCTGTTGCAGCAAAAACAACGAAAGTCACTTCTAGACAGCCTGTTTACTGTGATTTATTTGCACAACGTTTGCATGGAATTTAATAAATGTCTGTCATTTATTGACAACGCATTCCAACTTGCCTCCCAGGAAGTTAATGCCTCACCTTTCATTTTCCTGTCAAGTTCCTAACCACAAAAAGAGTCAATATTTTTTTGGGGGGGGGTGAGTGTGTTTGTTGCGCAACAGCACCAAATCCACTTTAACTGCACAACCTGATTTTGCTAGTTTCTGCTTGAAAAACAGCAGGAGTCTTGTGGCACCTTAAAGACTAAGGCTGTGTACACGCTATTCCTTTAAAGCACATTTGAACCACATTCTTTCCCTCAAAGATTTCTGGGCGCTGTAGTTTGCTAAGAATTTCCGGGAATTGTAATTCTGTTGAGGGGTAATCGACAATGCCCAGAATTTTTTGGGCAGCGGAACAGGGGAGCAGAATGTTTTATTAAAGGTATTGTAACAGATTTGTTACAATTTCGTGGTGACAGCAGCCACGAAATTAAAAGGCGCCTGCTTCTTGGGAGAAGGGCAATGACAGGCCTAGATAGCATCTTGAGAAGTAGAGACGTCACCTTGCCAACAAAGGTCCGTATAGTTAAAGCCATGGTTTTCCCAGTAGTGATGTATGGAAGTGAGAGCTGGACCATAAAGAAGGCTGATCGCCGAAGAATTGATGCTTTTGAATTATGGTGCTGGAGAAGACTCTTGAGAGTCCCATGGACTGCAAGAAGATCAAACGCATCCATTCTTAAGGAAATCAGCCCTGAGTGCTCACTGGAAGGACAGATCCTGAAGCTGAGGCTCCAATACTTTGGCCACCTCATGAGAAGAGAAGACTCCCTGGAGAAGACACTGATGCTGGGAAAGATGGAGGGCACAAGGAAGGGGCGACAGAGGACGAGATGGTTGGATAGTGTTTTCAAGGTTACCAGCATGAGTTTGACCAAACTGCGGGAGGTAGTGGAGGACAGAGGTGCCTGGCATGCTCTGGTCCATGGGGTCACGAAGAGTTGGACACGACTAAACGACTAAACAACAACAACAGATTTGTAAAAGGATTCTTGGTCGCTTCCTCTAGTGTGCATTTTACATTTGGCTTCAGGTTAAGGGCAGAGGCAACCATGCTAAATTGGCAATAGTCAGCAGCTCAGGACATTTTTTACCTCCCCGCCCCACCACCCTCAGTTTCGATTAGGATAATGCTATCAAAACTTCATTCTGGGTGAAGTTGGGTTCCCTGGCTGGAAGCATAGCATTAGTTTGTCAACTGGGAAATAGATCTCGCTGGAAGACAACGGACGTTCCAACGCAATATGCGTTGGGTGTTTCCCTGGAGTCACGGTCTTTCCCTCTGGTAACATTGAGAAGACCCAAGAGGCTTGACACAGTGCCTTCTTCCAAACCAAGAACATGCACTGGAACTTGGCCCACAAAGCTTAGCAACAACCAGGAAGTTCCACAGCAGACACTCAGAGTTTCTTTGGCAAGCATTTAGATGTGGAAATGGTTCCCTGAAGGCAGAAAGTAAGTTGTTATACCACACACTATATCATTATCCAGACTCTTTCTTACGAACCTAAGGGATGAGCGAAGAGTTGAGAGTCTGTTTTCAGTTCTGGCACTGGAAGCCCTTGTTGAAGGGTTCCTAAACCGTGGCTTGCGGACTATAAGCTTCCTTCAGGTGGTCCACAGCAGATCCACATTGCTTTTTAATTGCTGCTTTTGTTGTCATTATTATTTATTAAATTTATATTATTTATTCCATTGCTTTTATTTCCTGCCTTGTATTTTTCTTGCCAGTTATTGTTTTATCGGTTTTCCAAATTTTTAATAAATCCATAACAGATTAAGCAAATTTTATTCCACTTAAAAAAAGAAAGAAAAAGATTTTCCACCCCCTTCTAGGATAATTAATTACCCCTTATTGCTGATTTTATGTCATAGTTATCTTTAATTTGCTTTTTTTTTTCTTTTATCCGTATCCATCAGCTATCCCTTTGGTAATTCCTGCTCGTATATTAGTTAACATTTCCAGTGTCATCAAGTGACGATATTCTGGCATTGCATTTTATAGCATTGCTACATTAGTTCTGTGAAAAGCAAATGAAATTAAATACAGTGCAAGAAAGAAAAGCAGCAAAATAAAAAGAACACAATTACTAACTGTACAGCATTAGAATGTTAGAATTCCTGCTCCATGATTGCAGTCATGGGATTTTTGTCTTTCACATGATGGTATATGTTTTGACTCCACAGAGTGGGAAGTGATGGAGACAGGATGTTTGTGTTACTGTGTTCCGTGAAGTGGGACTATTGTCCTTTGTTCTTTTTCTTTTTGCTGTCTGATGCTAGAGAGAGAGGGAGCCATGTTGCAGTGCTCTGTGTGTGTTTATATGTAAATAAAGTAGATTAGCCAAAATGCTGAGTTGCTGAGGTCTGTTAGGCAACTGCGAAGACTCTGTGAATCCCTAAGTGTGCCGATGTCTGTTGGCATCGGTCACTGTGATGTTCGGGCTGAAGAAAGCTTTTGAAGCTCCCGAACGAACAACCAGGAGGGAGAGAACACGCCAGTTGGGCATGTGTCTCTACCAGGGTCCTACTCAAGTGTAGGATGAGCTCCTGACATAGAATTGCTACAAGAGGCAGAAAAATCATTAAGTGGTCCACCAAGACTCTTGGTCTAGTCCATGGGTAGGCAAACTAAGGCCCGGGGGCCGGATCCAGCCCAATCGCCTTCTAAATCCAGCCTGCAGATGGTCTGGGAATCAGCGTGTTTTTACATGAGTAGAATGTGACCTTTTATTTAAAATGCATCTCTGGGTTATTTGTGGGGCATAGGAATTCGTTCATTTATTCCCCCCCCAAAAAAAATATAGTCCGGCCCCCCACAAGATCTGAGGGACAGTGGACCAGCTCCCTGCTGAAAAAGTTTGCTGACCCCTGGTCTAGTCAATGGCGCAGGGTCACTGCCCCCCCCAGGTGTTGGAAAGTCAGGCAGTGAGAAAAACAAGGGAAAAAGAAGGGACAAATGGCTTTGACAAAAGCTGGGGCTCATAACTTAAGGGCCCCCTCCAGACTGGTGATTTTTTGAAGATGTAATCATCAACATGCCATTGACGCAGTACAGTATTGGCTGTGGATTAATATTGGGCCATCCACCCATCTTTCTTCTTTATTAGATATCCCGTGATGCTTCCCCCTTGTTTCTGTCTGGGGGGGGGAACTCTTCAACCATAGGAAAGCATTTGGGGTATAAAATGTTAGAGGATTTCAGGACATGGACCTTTGGGAAGCAAAGCAGTACAGCCACCCTGAAACTTTTGCAAGGCATCATCAATACTGAAAGCGAGGTTCCATATAACCGCTCCAATAGCATCATGAGCCCTAATCACCATGAATGCATTTAAAAAAAAAAAAATGACTCCTGCAGGAGCCTTTAGCCTGGTCTCATAACATCAAATTAGGGAGCAGAATTTCAAGATCAAAGGCTGTGACTCTCAGCATTTTTGTGACTCTTATATGTGACTCTCAGCAGTTTTGCATCCAACGCTGCAAGATTTATTTTTATTTTATTTTATTTTATTTATACCCCGCCCATCTGGCTGAGTTTCCCCAGCCACTCTGGGCGGCTCCCAATCAAGTATTAAAAACAATACTGCGTTAAATATTAAAAACTTCCCTGAACAGGGCTGCCTTCAGATGTCTTTTAAAGATAGGATAGCTACTTATTTCCTTCACATCTGAAGGGAGGGTGTTCCACAGGGTGGGCGCCACTACCAAGAAGGCCCTTTCGCTGGTTCCCTGTAACCTTACTTTTCGCAAGATCTGATGCTTTCTGCAGCCTGTGCCTGTCCTGTAATCTAACAAAATAAAGTAAGTTTCTACTCTCCTTCCTAGGGCTGCCTGGGAAAAATCCACCAAGGACTTCACCATTATCATGAACTTCTGGTGCACGTTTTCCCCCCGACGTCAAACGCTGAGCTCAAAAACACCCTGTATAAACTATTGCAACTCGTTTCAAAGGTGGGTACACGTTTTATAGGGGTTGAATGGGTTTGGCCACAGGGAGGCCTCAGGGTCACGCATGAAGGTCGGAGGCAAATTGAAAAGAGTCAATGAAGCAAAACAGTGCAAAGGCACGCGGACATGAGATGGATTTTTTTAAAAAGCAACCATGCTAACGTCACTGCCGTACTGCACAATCCTAGAAGACCAGTGAGCTAAACAGTTGTTGAAGGAATAAGGAAATTTTGTTGAAGAAATAAGGAAATTTTGCCCGTGGTATGACTATTTTCCATCTACCCACCTCAAGTCTTTGGCACCCTAGCTGCATAATTTAGCAATTCTAAAATATAGACACACTTTTAGTCTCGCAATATTGAATATACTGCCTTCGGCTGTACTTGAGGAACAAGTCCAAAAAATTCCACACGAAAAACGACTATGTCCCTGTGGAGATGTCCTTCTGACTTGCACTTTTTATAAAAACTTGAGGAGTGAGGTTATCACCCCTCTTTTATTGGCCATTCCGGGTCACCCAGCCACTGCCATAGTGTCCTTTCTCTTGGCAGAATAAAATGAGCAGGTGACAGCAAAGGTTGCAAGGTTTTTAGCCGGGGCAATTAGAGTAAGATCCACTATTTGACTATTGATCCGAACCCCCGCAAAACGTATTTTATATAATTGACTTTTTAATCTATTTTTTTGCATATCATATTGTGTGTTTTATTGCTATGGCTGGTGGCTGATGCAAGTAAAGATTCAAAGATACGGCGTGTTGTGCAGCTGAACTGAAACTCGCTATGCAAATGCTCTCTGGGTTATGTACTTCCTTCACATACATGCCAAGATGTACTGCATCACCTACAAATTATAAAGTGTGCAATATCCCCCTGGATCCACTTGCCTGGGGACCCACCCACCCAACAAATCACATCCTTGCTGAATTGTCAGCGGTCAAAAAGTGATCAGGCAAAACAGCAGTCCAGTATTGGAGCCTCAGCTTCAGGATCTGTCCTTCCAGTGAGCACTCAGGGCTGATTTCCTTCAGAATGGAGAGGTTTGATCTTCTTGCGGTCCATGGGACTCTCAAGAGTCTCCTACAGCACCAGAATTCAAAAGCATCAATTCTTCGGCGATCAGCCTTCTTTATGGTCCAGCTCTCACTTCTATACATGTATGGAAGTGAGAGAACAGGATTGGGGCCCAGCAATACATCGTCCCAAACGGGTTTGTTTTTGTTTTTTTGCTTTTGAGTGCTTTATTGATTGAAAACTTTATAACAGAAGTATACAATAGATATTAGATATTATAGGCAAAATGAAAATTAGTAATTATTAATTCTTTAACTAATGCTTGCTTTGTACATCCACTTGTGATTCAATTTGTCAAGCGCTCCGATCTTCCCCTTGCATTCCCGATTTAAATTCCTTAAACACACGCTTAAACTTATATAACTTATATTATTTGACTTACTATAAATTTGGTTTTGTACCATTATCCTATTTACTCAATCCATCTGAAATCTGTATCGTGATATCGGTTTCACCATTTTTGACCTGACAATAGAACACAAATCATGATGTACGCGAGCTATGCAAAGATCACGATGCAAGATAAACCCATGAAGCCAGCCAGTGCCTCTACCTAGTCCCATATTTATTAAAGATATCGTGATATATTGGTATATTGTGATGTTTAGTGGGCGATATATCGCGTTGATGAAAACCAGATTATCACCCAGCCCTAAACAGGATGCTGGCCTATGTTTTCCCTTGATTCAACAGCAGGGCTCTTTCCTGCGTTCTTAACCCCGATACTTTTGTCTCCTACAGGTTGGAGGAAATATGGAAAGCAGCAGCCCAGACCTCCCACCCATTTTGGCAGAATGGCAGAAGGAAGCCTTGCAGGACCCCATCCTGCTCCGCCTGCAGTCCTTCGCCGTCGTGGTGGCAAGAGTCATTTCCCATTGCGCAGCATTAGCCAGGAATGCAAACTAAGATCGGAGGAGGGAAGCGTCCTAGTCTTACGCTTTTCATTGTATTTAATCGACATACTTAATTTATTGATAGCACACGTGCTGTCGTGCTTTTATTTAACATTTTTATTTAATGTATTTATGTATTTATTTAAACGCCGGCCCCGATCCCCTGCTAGTAACAAACCCAGCGATAAGATGAAGGGGCCAAGATTTGTTTAGGGAAGTTTTTAATGACTGATGTTTTAATGTATTTTTATTCTTTTGTTGGAAGCTGCCCAGATGGGCGGGTAGAAATATGTTGTTGTTATTGTTTTTATTTTATTATTAATTTATTTTATTATTATTATTATTATTATTATTATTATTATTATTATTATTATTATTATTATTTTAATGTGGGGAGGATCCATGTGCCAACTTTTAAAATGTTTTTTTTTTAAGGGGAGGGGGTTTGTTGAATAACTTCCACATTTTCACGTGTTTATTTATTTGTTTGTTTGCGTGCTGTTTTATTCATTCCATTTTGAGGGATGATTTGTTTGGGGGGGTGTATGAATGTTGCACATATTTTGTATGACTTACTCCATTAAAAGCTATTTTTAAAAATTATTCCTCCGTGTGCAAACGGCTTGGCATTCCATTTGCAGAGAAGAGGGAAGAGAAGGTTACAGGGAGAGAGATAAAAGTGAACCATCAAGCCTAGCCAGGGTGCCCTGGAGTAATATCCCTGTTTCTTTCTGTTCTTCTATTTCTCCTGGGGTATGTTCCCGCCCCTCTTACTGGCGGTGCCTCTGGCCCTCCCTGAATTTCATTGTGGGCCAATAGTACGCCCCAACAACCAGAGAACAACTGTAGCTGCGTAGCAAGATTTCTTCCTTTTATTCCCACCCCACCCCCTTTCATTTTTAAATAGCAAAATACCACTATTTCATTGTTGTTTTTAAAGGAGCAGGGATTACACGATGAGACAAAACCAGTACAGTGGTACCTTGGGTTACATACGCTTCAGGTTACAGACTCCGCTAACCCAGAAATAGTGCTTCAGGTTAAGAAGTTTGCTTCAGGAAGAGAACAGAAATCATGCTCTGGCGATGCGGCAGCAGCGGGAGGCCTCATTAACTAAAGTGGTGCTTCAGGTTAAGAACAGTTTCAGGTTAAGTACGGACCTCCGGAACGAATTAAGTACATAACCTGAGGTACCACTGTAATTAAAGCCACCTTTCCCTACCCGGTCAGAAGTGGGGGAAATGTGAGGAGCAATTAAGGACACCTCCAGACTGTTTTGGGAGAGGCTCAAAGGAATTATGGGGAATGTAGGCTTGCGCAAGTAAAAAAGGATTAAAAAGCCTCATGTATGAGCACAATAAATCCATTTTAAAAAACCCTAAAAAAACAACCACCAAGGGGTATTCTGCAGTTAGGAAAGTGGCAAGGAAATGCACTGAAAACGTGTGGGGTGAACAAATGATTAATGGGAAGCCATGTACACAACCTACGGTTAGGGTTGGGCAATACAGTCATATCTTGGATCCCGAACGCCCTGGAACTCGGACGTTTTGGCTCCCGAACCCAGAAGTGATTGTTCCAGTTTGCAAACGTTCTTTTGGAACCCAAACGTCTGACAGGGCTTCCGCAGCTTCTGATTGGCTGCAGGAGCTTCCTGCAGCCAATCAAGAGCAGCAATTTGGTTTTCGAATGTTTTGGAAGTCAAACAGACTTCCGGAACGGATTCCATTCGACTTCCAAGGTCGATATATTGCCCAAGACCGGTGTGAAGTCCATATCATGATAACAGTTCCACAGTTTTTGACCCGGCAACGTATCACAAATCATGATGTGTGTGTGTGTGTGCGCGATGCAAAAACCACAATGTGGCGAAAACCGTGGAGCCAGCAAAAGTGAATTTTATTACAAAAACAAACACGCACAAAACCCCTAACCCTGCCATAGATCAGGTCTGGAAAAAGGTGTGGGAGGATAAGGAAGGAACCTATGGGCCGCTGCAACAATTTGGAAATGACATTAGCAGAACAGTCTGTGAAAAAAAATACAAATTGGAAAAGACGACTGAACAGAAGGACCAAAATTCCAGAGAAAAAGAGCAACCTCTGTCCATGTTTGCAGGTACCACTATGCAGTTTGATTTGAACCCTCTACATCTCCAAATAATGGGAAGTTCTGGAGAAGCTGGACTGGACAGGACATCATAAGGCATCATAAGGACAGGACCATAGCTGTCAGCTTACAGATTTGAAAATAAGGGATCAGCAGCCTTGAAAATAAGGGACCAGCAGCCAAAATAAGGGATTTTAGTCAACCAGATAATTTGGGAGAGCAGCGCCAGTTTTTAGCCCTTCGTTTCCAGAGGTTGCTGCTCAAGGCACCAGCCGATGAAACACTGCAATTAAATAACTACAAGCAGCAACCACTTTTCGCGCAAAACGAAGTCCAAGCTACGAAGATGCTGCTGCAGTTCTGTATCTTTTCTCTCGTGCTCCATCTGCAGCTCTCAGTTCCATCAGGCGGGGCGGGAGGAAGGGGGGGGAATAGCGCCCGAAGTAAACCCGCAGATCAGACCATCTATGCTAGTCTACCACTACAAATCTATGGGAGAAGTGCTTGCGGTCCTTCCCTTGTAGCCCTTGGAACACCTGCCCGTGCATCCGCCTCCTCCTCTTCCTTCTCTCTCTGAACTGCTTTCTCTATGGTTGCCCTCGCTCTCCTCTCAAGGCTCCTCATCAATTCATAGACCATGCCAGGCTGCCCATCTCATCTGGGTCCTTTGGCAGCTCAGCCGCAGTACGGCCTAGCGGGAGCGGCGGTGTAGGGCAGAGGGGAGGCCCCAGGCAGAGACGCACAGTTCAGCGGCCGCGAGGAGGATGGTGGCGGAAGGGCCCGAGGCTCCCACCAGTCCCGGCGGGGAGGGGCTCCCAGGGGCCGAGGCTGGTGAGAGGAGGCCGGAGGGGGGTGGGGCGGGCAGCCAAGCAACACAGTTGGAGCCTCCCTCCTCCCTGGCCGGCAGGGAGGGAGGGAGAAGAGCTGCTTCCTTTGAAACCCGGGAAATTTAAGGGACACCCATCAATAAGGGACAGCAGTGGGACACAGCGCTGGGATAAAGCACTGTCCCTCCAAATAAGGGACGCTTGACAGCTATGGACAGGACATATTTATTTACAAATATACAGGTTGAGCTGGCAGCCGCACATGGGAAGGGCAAGCATGGTAGCCCACAAATACCTAAAACCCAAACTAGCAGAACTCTCATTGCCTACGCACCCATTTTCAGGCATTCCCAGTCTCCAGCCTCTCTCTCGATCAGAACACTCAAGAGCAAGTTCAAAACTGGTTCAGCATCCTCTTTGAATTGATTAATAAGAAAGCCATGCTCCATGGCGGGGGGCACAAGGAAGACAGTAGGCAGTCAGAAGGGAGCAGAGCCACAGTTTTAGGCCTCCATCTTGCCAGAAATCATCACACCATCGCCATCAACCCTCCTCTGGTGGACCTGCTTTTATTTCCAAGAAGATGCCAGCCTGTCGTATCGAAGTGGGGAGCAGTGACGGTACATGGGAGCCTATTGAAAATCGCTTTCATCGACATTCAGCTCTGGGATCTCACCAGCCGTCACGTTCAGCTCTGGGATCTCATGAGGCATCACATTCAGTTCCGGGATCTCATCAGGTGCCTCAAACAGACGAATGGGCGGCGGTAGCAACTGCTGATCATCACCCGGCAGTGGGAGGAAAGGATCTGGTGTGGAGGAAAGAGGAGAGAAGGAATCATCTGGGAACTGAAGGAGGAAATACTGTAGAGATCTGGTGTGCTGCGACCCAGAATAGAAACCCAAAGCATTGCAAACGTAGCCCCAGGAGACTACCCTCTGTTGCAAGGACTTCACCCCTCAAGAGGGCCACAGATTCACCACTCACCTTGCCTGTCGGACAGAAGGCATTGCAGGCCGCGTGCCAAGCCCGCCAAATCACTGTTCAAGTGCTCATTGTCTGCAAGGGCCAAACCATTCAGCCAGGGAGCTTGAACGCCCTGCTCCAATCCCGCCAGATCGTGGTTCAAGTGCTCATCATCTACAAGGGCCAAACCATTCAGCCTGGGAACTTCAACGCAGTGCTCCAATCCCGCCAGATCGTGGTTCAAGGGCTCATCATCTGCAAGGGCCAAACCATCCGGCCTGGGAACCTGGGCCTCTTCTGGCTGCCTGGATAAGTAAGAACATATATATATGCATGCCATATTTTTCTGTGTATAAGACGCCACATGTATAAGACGACACTATTTTTTTTAAACCCGAAATTAAGCTTTTTTGTGTGTGTGTTTAGCTTTTTTGGGGGGTGGGGGGTCACTTCTCCCAATCGCTCACCCGCCTGCCCACCATTCCCGATCGCTTGCCACAGCCACTGCCACTCGCACACCTTGTCGCAGCTGCCAATCGCCTGCCCAATTGCCACAGCCGATTGCCAGCAGGCCTTGCTGCAGCCACCTATCACCCGCCCAATCGCGACTGCCAATCTCCTGTTTGCTGCTGCAATTAATCGCACGTCCCCCTCTGAATTCACTTTCCATGTATAAAACGACACCCAATTTTTGCCTTTTTTTAGTCAAAAGTATCATCTTATACACAGAAAAGTGTGTGTGTGTGTGTGTAGTTTTACAATTTAAAACACTCATTTAAACATCCTTCAAATATCAATGACTTCCCTTCTTCTCTTTCCACGGTTCATTTTGCATATCATAAATCCTTGCATATTTTACCAAAACTAAATCATTCAGTGTTCCATTATTGCATCCATCAAAACTTATTTACACTGTTCAGTTTATTTTACTGCTGCCAACATTTTCAGGTGTACACAATTTCCCACCATATATTCAATAAACTTTTTCAATCTTCTCTAAACGTATATTCTCCTTGTTCCTTTATTCTATATGTTAAATCTGCAAGCTGCGCATATTCTGTCAGCTTAAGCTGCCACTCTTCTTTGGTTGGGACCTCACTCGTTTTCCATTTTGGGGCTAACAAAACACGGGCCGCAGTAGTGGCAGACATAAATAACCTTTTCTGACACCTGGGAATTTCAGTCTGAATTATCCCCAACAAAAAGGACTCTGGTTTTTTTTGGGAAAGTACTTTTAAACATTTTTTTCAGTTCATTATGGATTATTTCCCAATACTCTTTTACCCTTTTCCCAATACTCTTTTTACCCTTTTACATGTCCACATATGAAAGAATGTTCCCTCAACCTCTTTGCATCTCCAGCACTGATCTGATTCAGTCTTATACATCTGAGCAAGCCTAGGTAAAGGTAAAGGGACCCCTGACCATTAGATCCAGTCATGACCGACTCTGGGGTTGCGGTGCTCATCTCGCTTTATTGGCCGAGGGAGCCAGCGTACAGCTTCCGGGTCATGTGGCCAGCATGACGAAGCCACTTCTGGCAAACCAGAGCAGCGCACAGAAACGTCGTTTACCTTCCCACCAGAGCAGTACCTATTTATCTACTTGCACTTTGACGTGCTTTCGAACTGCTAGGTTGGCAGGAGCAGGGACCGAGCAACGGGAGCTCACCCTGTTGCAGAGATTCAAACCGCCGACCTTCTGATTGGCAAGTCCTAGGCTACTCAGAGTTAAATACCATCTGCAAATCGTTTTCAAGTACAGTGGTACCTTGGGTTACATACGCTTCAGGTTACACACTCCGCTAACCCAGAAATGGTACCTTGGGTTCAGAAATTTGCTTCAGGACGAGAACAGAAATTGTGCTCCAGCAGCGCAGCAGCAGTGGGAGGCCCCAATTAGCTAAAGTGGTGCTTCAGGTTGAGAACAGTTTCAGGTTAAGAACGGACCTCCGGAACGAATTAAGTACTTAACCCGAGCTACCACTGTAGTGCATTCCTACTGCAAAGAGGCCTTCTGCCTGGATGCAGTCAATGTCCTTAGTGAATTTATCATACTCGCTTCAGTGTGTGACTCTCCCCAGTCTGCTTTGCCTGCTGTTCCCCTAGCATCTGAGAGGACCTCCGGAACGAATTAAGTACTTAATCTGAGGTACCACTGTAGTTCTCCTTCAAAGAATAACATGCTGTAAACTTCAAATCGTTTAAGTTTTTCCCAAAGGTTAAAATCTATTCCCGCCCCCCCGCCCCCCTATCTAATAACAGATTATACATTTTAGGCAAAATTCTGTCCTGAATTTTCCAAACGTGCAGCTTCACTGCATGTCCACAAGGGAAAGAGAGTGCGCTACGACTTTCAGATGCAGGACTGGATGGGATGTTGAGGCAGTGCCTTTTCTAACATGGCAACCAGGTGGCAGAACTCTCTCCCTAAAAAGCTTTGGTTGGCTGCCTCTCCTTTAGGCATCAAGCAAGCTGCAAAGAGGCTTTTATCCCATTGAGCATAGGTTAAAGTTTTGTCTTTGCCTAAGGTTTGGGGGTCTTTGCCTATGGCCCACCAGATGTCCCAATTTGGCCCATCAGGGTGTTTCCCCAAAGCCACACCCACCTGCCTTACACCTGACATTCTATGTGACATCACCGATAAGCTGATTGGTGGTTAGAGCTGGTCCTCTGAAGATCAGCTACACTAAGGAGTTCCCTTGGTGCTTGGATTCACCTTACTCCATAGAAACATCAGGTCAAAGTGGCCCACTGTAGATGGGGGGAGCCCAAGATGTTCCTCCCCACAACCCCAGCCCAGGGGGTTAAGTATGCAGGGCAGCCCCAAATTGCTGATGTCCCCAATAGACTCAGAAGTTGAAAGAGGTGTGATCAGATCTGGCATGGCAAGTACCGTATTTTTCACTCCATAAGGCGCACCTGACCTTAAGACGCACCTAGTTTTCAGAGGAGGAAAACAGGGAAAAAATATTCTGAATCAAATGTTGTACTAAACTATTTAATAAGCTACTGGTATATCAGAGTGAGGGGACACGGGTGGCGCTGTGGGTAAAAGCCTCAGCGCCTAGGGCTTGCCGATTGAAAGGTTGGCGGTTCGAATCCCCGCGGCGGGGTGCGCTCCTGTTGTTCGGTCCCAGCGTCTGCCAACCTAGCAGTTCGAAAGCACCCCCGGGTGCAAGTAGATAAATAGGGACCGCTTACTAGCGGGAAGGTAAACGGTGTTCCGTGTGCTGCGCTGGCTCGCCAGATGCAGCTTGTCACGTTGGCCACGTGATCCGGAAGTGTCTGCGGACAGCGCTGGCCCCCGGCCTCTTGAGTGAGATGGGCGCACAACCCCAGAGTCTGTCAAGACTGGCCCGTACGGGCAGGGGTACCTTTACCTTTTACTTATATCAGAGTGAGACTGAGAGGGACAGGAGCTGTATGTTTGTTTAGTGTGCGCGCTCAAGGAGCCAGCAGATCAGGTGAGACGCAGGGGGATTTGCGTAATTTTTCCCTCTCCCTCATCCCCTGCCCTCCAGTCCCCAGCAGCTTTCCTGTTTTACCTCCTGATTTTCACTGCGCTCGTGGCTCAGAGCTCGAGGTTGGTGGTTTTTTTGTTGTTGCTGGTTGCTTAAATTTTATCCTTCCGGATCCAACCCCTCCTGTGCCCTGCCGTCCCTCTGCAGCCTCATTGCTCCGTTTAGGGAGCGCGCGGACCTTTGCTAGCTGAGGCTGCTGCAGCTGTTGCTGGCTAGGCACCGCTTTTAAAAGCGCCTACTGGCTCTGAATCGCCTGCCTCCTCCCGGCTCGCTGAAAAACAAGCAAAGCTAGAGCCGCGCAAAGCGGGACAGAAGCCCTGTAAGCGGCTCCCACTTTGCTTGACTGACGGGAGCCATGGCTCCGGTCGTGTGCATTCACTCCATAAGACGCACAGGCATTTTCCCTTTCTTTTTAGAAGGAAAAAAGTGCGTCTTATGGAGAGAAAAATACGGTAAGCTCTCCAAGAGGCTGACATGGGATGAGATGGCACAACTCACTGAGACGAGACTCTGATCAGGCGGCGGTTCAAGTAGCGTCTCTCTTCTGTCAGGTCCGCTGGGAAGGAGAGAAAACAGGGTGTGTAAGGGAGCTAGAAGCAGGATTGGACCCCTCACCAACCAAAGCAAGGAAGACAGCCCTCAGCTCAGCACCCATGAGTTCTGCCTCAGTGGATTCTGCATTCAGAGAGTGCCTGAAGTTTGTACAAATGTTACTCGAATTCTATGCTTGAGAAGAGATCTGGAAATCTGTCTTGTTGATATGCAAATGCACACCTTTTTATATATAAAAAAGGAATAATTTACTTTGAAGTTTGTGAGTTGCAGAGTTAGTAACTATGATTTATTTATTTTTTTAAAAAAGCAAATATCATCTGTGTAGAGGAAAGGGGAAATCTGGATTATCTAGAGGGGGAAACAGGTTGACCAACAATGTTGTGTGGATGCTGTGTTAAGAGTGAAGGCAGACACAATGTTTTTAGAGCTGTGGAAACATTCTGGAAGTGTTTTCAGGGTGACACTTTTACTGTAGAACCTATGGAGGTCTATGAAGCCCCAGCACCAGATTAATGTCCAAATGTACTGTATTTTTCGCTCTATAAGGCGCACTAGACCACAAGACGCACCTAGTTTTTGGAGGAGGAAAACAAGAAAAAAAATATTCTGAATCTCAGAAGCCAGAACAGCAAGAGGGATCGCTGCGCAGTGAAAGCAGTGATCCCTCTAGCTGTTCTGGCTTCTGGGATAGCTGCGCAGCCTGCATTCGCTCCATAAGATACACACACATTTACCCTTACTTTTTAGGAGGGAAAAAGTGAGTCTTATAGAGCAAAAAATACGGTATTTTAATTCTCAAGAGACAAGCTCAGGGGCAGGCGGTTTGCAAGTGTGAAGCAGAAGCCAGCAGCACTGATGATGTGACCAATGAACCTTGCTCCCTTCTCCCCAACCCATGGAGAAGTCTTGCACTTTCAAAAATATTTCTTAACAGCCAATACAATGGCAAATAAGTAGGTAAGCCTTCATGTAAAACATTCCTTTATTAATTTCCCCAAAATAAAAGCAGACAGCCTACTTATGGGGGCAAGTGTCAGGGGCTCAGGAGCAGAGGCACAGGGGAGAGAGGAAATGGAGAGCGAGGGGGAGGAATCTGAGGGCAGTGGAGGGCAGAATGACAGTGACCCGAGAGATTCCATGAGCCTCTCCAGTGAATCAGAAGATTCCCAGAAGGGGGCGCCGATGGCCAGGGCAAGGGGGGTCCCAGGGGGGACACACCAGAAGCAGGGGGCCAGCGGAGACTCCCAAAGCAGTAGCTGGAAATCAGGGCCAGCTTCCCCACCGGAGCGTAGTGGGGGGGAAGAGTCCCATAGGTCAGAGTCAGCGTCTCCTCCGGCAAGCAGGGAGGAGGAGTCAGGACCAGCTAGCGTCCCCGAAGAGGGGAGCAGCGACAGGAGCAGTATAACGGTCAGAAGGAAGGTGGCAGGCTGGGCGTGCACGCCAAGTTCAAATGTACAGGCGCGCGGGACAGCAGAAAGCCCGGATTGGGAACCAGGTCCTAAAGCCCGCCGGAGGGAGGGGGAAGACTCGGGGGACTCAGCGTCAGAAGAGTCTAGAAAGGGCAAAACCCCGGCAGACAGGCGGACCCAGAGGAGGAAAGAGCAAAGGAAGAGGTGGAGCAAGGCTAGAGTCTTAAACTGGTGTCTGGGGGGAGGAGACTCAGACGGAGCTTCGGCGGTCTAGGGTTTAAGACGTAGAGCTGCGCGCCGTGGCTGTAAATGAGAAACTGAACTTCAATAAAGACTATTTTATATAACAACGGACTGGCGTTGGTCCTCTGTGAGCTGGGACCTGAGGCAGCTCTGACAGCAAGACTAACAGCTGAGTTAACCTTCAACTTGCTGGTGTGCATGTCCAAACTTGGGACTAAGCCAGGCCCACACCACAGCTGAAAAATTTGCTGCAAGTTCCGGTTCTGTATAATTATTATCTGTCTTCACCCTTAAGACAGTAAACTCCGCAGAGCAGAGGCCCTGGCTTTTCTTTGTTGTAAATTATGTTACTCTGTGAAGTTCTAGAACATAGATGGCAGCATATAAAGTTTACCATAGTTATCGTCGGCGCTTTTTTTTCTAGAAAAAGAGGTGCCGGAACTCACAATGAACACCTCCCTTATTCTCTTATAATGGCAATGGCGCTCACCTGAGATGTGCCGGAACTGACATCTAGTGAGTTTCGGCTGGAAAAAGCCTCATCATCATCATCATCATGGCAGCCATAAAAGCTGCAGATGTTGTTTCAAAACCTCACCTCACCAGCAATCAAGTTCTCTGCAGCTCAGGACCCCAATACGTTGAGGACTGCCTCTTCCCACATGAACCTACCCAGACCCTGAGATCATCTTCTGAGGCCCTCCTTCATGTGCCGCCTCCTTGAGAGGTCCGGAGGATGACAACATGAGAATGGGTCTTCTCTGCAGTGGCTCCCCATCTGTGGAATGCTCTCCTCAGGGAGGTTCGGCTGGCACCTTCATTATACACCAGGCAAAAACGTTTCTTTTTAACCAAGCCTTTGGGTGGATCTGATTTTAATCCTATACCCTTTTAAATGTGGTTTTTGGGGGGAGGCGTGTTGTTGGGTTGTTGTTTTAACTTTTATTATGTACCGTATTTTTTGCTCTATAAGACACACTTTTTCCCTCCTAAAAAGTAAGGGGAAATGTGTGCGTCTTATGGAGCAAATGCAGGCTGCGCAGCTATCCCAGAAGCCGAGAGGGATTGCTGCGCAGTGCTCCCTCTTACTGTTCTGGCTTCTGGGATTCAGAATATTTTTTTTCTTGTTTTCCTCCTCCAAAAACTAGGTGCATGTTATGGTCTGGTGTGTCTTATAGAGCGAAAAATACGGTATTTTGTGGTTTTCTATCTTATCCCTGAGACCCCTGGGAATAGGGCGGTATATAAATTCAGTAAATCATAATCATCACCTGAGGAGGCTGAATTCTGCACGGCGAGATTACAGAAATACTGAATACATATAAGCCGGGCCCATAAACGTGAAAATGCAAGACATCCGAATGCCCTGGAATTCAGGGCATAGAAGAGTGTCATGAAAGAGGGAACCCCATGACAATCTGGCAGGCAGGAATACCTTCCCGGCGTTCGCTATAGTAAGGAGAAAAAGCTGTATCCCGGGGCGTGTCAGGATAGAGGTACTTCAGTGGATTCTCAGATTTTTGCTCCATAGCCAGGAAGTGATAGTCATGGATGATGTCTGGCAGCGCCAGGGACTTGAGCTCGACGCAGGTGTAGGGCTCCACTGACTGGAATCTGGGGGAACCTGCAGAGGTTAGAAACACCTAGTCAAAGTGTCAGGTGGAGTTCTTTCTGATCTTGTCTGGAGATCAACTCATCCAGATGATAGATAGATAATTTATTACGGTCAAAGACCAGCTCGCATAACACAGTAAAAACAGCATTCATAAAGTTAAAATAGACAATCAGGGCAGATTGCAGCAATAGCTCATGAGTTAAAATTGAGATATATACACACACCCATACAACTGAGATTTGGGCTACCATAAAAATTGACCCTAAGGTGCCCCAAAGGGCGACTTCAGCATTTCCCTAGTAAGCTATTTTATTCTAGAGAATGATCTGTTCCAGGTGATGGACTATATGGAACTGGCGGAAATGACCGGCAGAATCCGAGACCAGGGAGAAGAGTCGGTGGAAGAAGATTGGAAGAAATTTAAAGACTATTTACAGAAATATTGCAAAATTAATGAATGTTAGAATGATGTCAGAATGAAGTTAAGTGGTTTTTAGCAGCAATGTTATAAAGGAATATGTAAAAATGGATTGTTAACAGGTGATAATCTAAAGTTATAATATATTAAGATAAAGGATTAAGATAAAAACGAAGAGGGAAAGGATTTGCTGAATTAACTATTTGAACTGGAATACAAAAAAGGGAGGTGTGAGGAGGTCAGGGAAACAAGCAAATGAAAGACAAGATATGGAAAGATTGATTTGTTTTTAACTGTTTTTATTTTTCTGTACTTTGTATTTTTTTTCTTTTTCTTATTTTTGTAACATTTTGAAACTTTAATAAATATCTTTAAAAAATAAATAAATAGAGAATGATCTTTTCCTACAAATCCGGGCTACCTGCCAGGTCGTCAGGTGGAGTTAGCTTTGTTCATGCAAGCTTTTTCAAAACTGCATTTTAAATATGTAAATTCTTCTTAGGCTATCTCTGTTGCAAGAATGCCCACCGTCTTATCTTCTAGTGTTCATTGACGATTATAAAGATTCTGTACTGGGCTTTTGGTTTTGGTTTTAAATCATTGTTTTGTAACAAGCAACCAAGGGAATTTTTACTGAATGGCAGCTATATAAAAGTTAAATAAAACAGACAAGCAGGATTAGAATGAAAATTGTCTGCCTCCATCTCACCAGCATAGGGCCCAATTTAGGTTTGATGAGGCCCTAAGCTACTGAAGGTAATGGGGCCCTTTATATGTCCAGCTGTCCTTTGTCAACAACAAATGGTCGCTGTTTTTTTGTGTTGAATATTTGCTATATGTTAATTTATGGACCTTATAGGTATCTAAAGCCATTTGCAGATAACAAAATATGTATTTTATCAAAGTAATTGTTGAACTGAAATACAATTAAGAATAAGTATATTAATACATCCGGGACGCGGGTGGCGCTGTGGGTAAAACCTCAGCGCCTAGGACTTGCCGATCGCATGGTCGGCAGTTCGAATCCCCGCGGCGGGGTGCGCTCCCGTCGTTCGGTCCCAGCGCCTGCCAACCTAGCAGTTCGAAAGCACCCCCGGGTGCAAGTAGATAAATAGGGACCGCTTACCAGCGGGAAGGTAAACGGCGTTCCGTGTGCTGCGCTGGCTCGCCAGATGCAGCTTGTCACGCTGGCCATGTGACCCGGAAGTGTCTGCGGACAGCGCTGGCTCCCGGCCTCTAGAGTGAGATGAGCACACAACCCTAGAGTCTGGCAAGACTGGCCCATACGGGCAGGGGTACCTTTACCTTTTACCTTTATATTAATACATCCAGGTTTTTTCCTTTGATTTTTTTTTGGGGGGGGCCAAGAGGGTGGGGCCCTAAGCTATAGCTTGTTTAAAGGTAAAGGGACCCCTGACTGTTAGGTCCAGTCGCGGACGACTCTGAGGTTGCAGCGCTCATCTCACTTTATTGGCTGAGGGAGCCGGTGTATAGCTTCTGGGTCATGTGTCCAGCATGACTAAACCACTTCTGGCGAACCAGAGGAGCGCACGGAAATGTCGTTTACCTTCCTGCTGGAGCGGTACCTATTTATCTACTTGCACTTTTGACGTGCTTTCGAACTGCTAGGTTGCCAGGAGCAGGGACCGAGCAACGGGAGCTCACCCCGTCGCGGGGATTCGAACCGCCGACCTTCTGATTGGCAAGCCCTAGGCTCTGTGGTTTAAGCCACAGCGCCACCCGCTTGTTTAGCTTATACGTAAATCTGGCACTGCACCAAACATATGAGGAGAGTTCAGAAGGACTGACAAAAATGGGAGGGTGTATCAATATCTCATTTTGGAAAATCCTGGGGCTGGTTCATGCATTCTGTTTATTTATTTGGACCACCTCGTAAGTACTTAAATAATAATAATAATTTGTATTTAAAGGATTTTTACTTTCAAATCTGCAGGAAAGCAAAAGGAGACGGACTTATTTCTGCCCCCGTGTAGAACAGGGGAACCGCTGTCTCCAGACTACTAGAAGAAGGTAAACGGCGTTCGTGTGCTGCCTGGCTCGCAGATAGCTTGTCACGCTGCACGTGACCGAAGTGTTCCAGACAGCGCTGGCCCCCCTCTTACGTATGGGCGACAACCCTGGTCTGCGACTGGCCCGTACGGGCGGGGTACTTACCTTTACCTGTTCTCATACACACGTTTCAGGTTAGAGATGAAAGGCTGGGGGAAACTCCCTGAAAATGGGGGCTGGTGGGCAAAATTCCCACTTTCCCACACCTGTTTTGGTAGGGACACAGGAAAAGGCGCTATAGCTGATTTTCCTTACCCCAATTGCAACCAGTTAAAAATGGGTAAAAAACGAAAATAAAAGGCTTCTTTCATTTTTGTCAGGTCCTTCAGGAGACAGCCAGACTTGCTGATTTAATTAGGCATTTCCCAGCTCGGCATCCAATAATCAATACTTCAGATTGGCTAAATCCATAGCTTGCACATGCATGTTGATTTTAACCTTGCTTACCTTCTTGTCTCGAATGCTTGATTAAGTATACTAATTAAAGGAAATGGATTTGCTGCAAGCCTAAAAACTCATCTTTGAACCATAAATTTTCTGTGTGCTGACACAAAGGGCACTAACGCTCCAGGTTAACATGGCAGAGGGAAGTAAGGTAAAAACTCTCTAACCGCTACACAGAAATCGTACTTAGATTTCCCCCACTGAGCAAGGCAGAATTGTCACAGGGACAACTGTTCCCCACATTCCACCCCCATTTTCACAGATTTTTTTAAAGGGACTCACATCTCTAATCAGAGCGTAAGTTAAAAAAATACAATGAAGCATTGGGAAAAAAATTGTTTTTTTAAAACACCCCAAGAAGAATTAAAAAAAACAGCAGAAAAACACACAACTGTGATGATTAAGAAGAAGAAGAGTTTGGATTTGATATCCCACCTTTCACTCCCTTTAAGGAGTCTCAAAGCGGCTAACATTCTCCTTTCCCTTCCTCCCCCACAACAAACACTCTGTGAGGTGAGTGGGGCTGAGAGACTTCAGAGAAGTGTGACTAGCCCAAGGTTACCCAGCAGCTGCATGTGGAGGAGCGGGGAATCGAACCCAGTTCCCCAGATTACGAGACTACCGCTCTCAACCACTACACCACGCTGGCACCACAAGGCAAGGCAAGGGAGAGAATTCCAGGAATTAACCTGTGTCGTCGAAGTCCACCCAGGTAAAGGTGATGCCCCCACTGGCGGTGCTCTCACTGAAGCGCAGCAGGAAGGTGCCTGCCCTCTTCTTCTTCAGCAAACTCCTCTCCCGCTTGCGGCTCACGAACCCCATGATGAGACTAGGATGCGATGCGGGTGGGAAGAGGAGAAATATCAAGGTCAAAGAGCTGCCACCTTTGCGCTGCCTTGACTCCCTCCCGACAACTGTAGCCGGGCTCCCAAGGCTTGCGGATAGTAGCCGTGCCTGGGGGGGAAATAATTTTTTTTTCTTTATCCCCCCCCCCAAAAAAACCTAGGTGCGCCCTATGGGCCGAAAAATACGGTACTCCGTTACTTCCGGGTCGCTGTGGAACACAACCTGAAAATACTTATCCTGAAGCGTATTCATCTCGAGGTATGACTGTACTTGCTGTCTGGAATAAAATCTGTAACCTTCTCAACCGCTTGCATTTGTATTGCTTCTGAATCTAATTTGAAAAGATTAGATGGGCAAGACAATGTCTTCCAACTCTACAACTATCATTCTATGAAGGGGGGTTTGGAGTACAGTAGTACCGCGGGTTACATACGCTTCAGGTTACAGACTCAGCTAACCCAGAAATAATACCTCGGGTTAAGAACTTTGCTTCAGGATGAGAACAGAAATCGTGCGGTGGCAGCGGGAGGCCCCATTAGCTAAAGTGGTGCTTCAGGTTAAGAACAGTTTCAGGTTAAGAACGGACCTCCGGAACAAATTAAGTACGTAACCAGAGGTACCACTGTATTTGCAAAGAACTGAGGTGGCTTTTGCAATGAGTGGTGGAGACGGGCAAAACACCCCCTAGCAAACAGCGCCCTCCTGAGGCCGTTGCCGTTAAAGGCTTTGTGTGACTCCTTGAGTTCTGCTATTGGAGAGGGAAGAAGCCAAATTTCCCCCTCTTCTTCCCCACCCCGCTCCTTACTCGTTGTTCCAGAGTTGCAGGAGGTGCTCCTTAATCAGGAGTAAGATCCCATCAATCCAGGTCCAGAAGGAGAAAGCGTACGAAGTAGGCTGTGGGGAAAAGGAGAGAGGAAATAAGAAGAGGGAAAGCGCTTCGGTGAGCAACAGAAGGAGGCAGGGGCGGCGCTTACCTTGGCAAACTGTGCCCAGGCGACTGTGCTCTGCGATGTCGCATTTGGTCCTTCGGTGGAAAGAAAAGGCAAGAAGTGAGCTGCATAATTGTTTTGACAGAAATATGGGGGGGGGGTGAGGCCTGTTTGTTGACCCTTCTTTGGCACCCCCCCCCCAACACCCTTACTTCCACTTTATGGACTTGAGGGAACAGAAGATAACACTCTGTTCATTCTATCTTGAACAGCTACCACCAACTCTGCCTCTACATTCACGGTCACTGATGGAAAGTGGTACTTTGGTTCTCAAACGCCTTGGTTCCCAAACGCTGAAAACCCAGAAGTAAGCGTTCCGGTTTTCCAACATTTTTCAGAAGCCAAATGTCCAGTGTGGTTGTAGTCTGTTGTTTCCGGGGCGCCTGCACCCATCAGAAGCTGCGCCTTGGTATTCGAATATTTTGGAAGTCAAATGGACTTCTGCAAAGGATTAAGTTTGGTGCTTTTGTTTTTGCCATCTATTTTGTGTTTTGGGGGCTTTTTTGGTTCATTTGTTTTTGTGACCGTGTGGAACCCAGTTCAGCTACTGACTGATTGATTGTGTGACTGCGGAAATGGATAAAAGCCCCCTCCCTCCCCATCCAAACAATGACTATCATCAGTGCAGGTAAGAATATTTTTTTAAAATCATCTACAATACTGTCTTATTTATTTTATAGCACAATACACTGATTACTGCTTTCATTTTATGGATCAATGGTCTCGTTAGATAGTAAAATACATGTTAAATTGCTGTTTTAGGGGTTGTTTTTAAAAGTCTGGAATGGATTAATCCGTTTTGCTTTACTTTCTATAGGAAAGCGTGCCTTTGTTTTGGAATGCTTTGGTTCTGGAACGGATTAAGTTTGAGAACCAAGGTACCACTGTATTTTCCCTCATTTAAAATGGGTTTCGCGCTAAAGGACTTTGTTGAAGACGTGAGGAGGAAAATGCACCTGCGTTGGGACTTATGGGGCCCAGGAGTTCACCTCGTCCCAAAACATCCTGGCCACTTTTTAACAGAGAGAGAGGCCCTTCTCTTTCTCCCACCTAAGGTGAGGCATGGGGGGGGCAGCATTTTTATTACAGCCAGCTGTTGCCTGTTAAGGAATCTTTTACCCATGATCACTGTTGTTGTCCCTTTTAAAAGGATTTTTAAGGTGGTGCATGTTTATTGCATTTTTTATTATTGTTGCCTTTATTTTTACTGTTGTATTTTCATTTTTATTGTTGCATTCTTTCTATTTTAATACATATTTTTATTGCAATGCTGTTTAAGATGTATGTGGGGCATGGGCCAAGGGTAGAATGGTGCTTAATTGAAAATCCTAAATATTTTTTTTTAAAGGGTAGAATGTGGCTAGGGCTGGGAAATAGCTGGTTTTCAACTTTGTGATTTTTCGCCCGCTAAACATTGCAATACACTGCTGTATCACAATGTCTGAAATAAAGATGGAGGTAAGTAGAGGCATTGGGTGGATTCACGTTTTTTTTGGCATTGTGATTTTTGCCGGTGCCTGCTCTTGTGATTCGCTGCCCCATGTCAGGGGAGAGGTGAGCTGGAAGAGTTAACAGGAGCTACAGAAATCGAGAGAAGCAACCATCTGGAGGCAGTTGGAAGATGGATGGCGGCTAATGGATTGAGGTTGAATCCTGACAAGGCAGAAGTACTGTTCCTGGGGGACAGGGGGCAGGCAGGTGTGGGGGACTTCCTGATCCTGAATGGGGTAAGTGTGCCCCTGAAGGACCAGGTGCACAGCCTGGGAGTCATTTTGGACTCGCAGCTGACCATGGAGGCACAGGTCAATTCTGTATCCAGGGCAGCTGTCTACCAGCTCCACCTGGTACGCAGAGTGGTGCATGCTCTAGTTATCTCCTGCTTGGACTACTGCAATGCGCTCTACATGGGGCTACCTTTGAAGGTGATCCGGAAACTGCAATTAATCCAGAATGCGGCAGCTAGACTGGTGACTGGGAGTGGCCGCCGAGACCATATAACACCGGTCCTGAAAGATCTTCATTGGCTCCCAGTACGTTTCTGAGCGCAATTCAAAGTGTTGGTGCTGACCTTTAAAGCCCTAAACGGCCTCGGCCCAGTATACCTGAAGGAGCGTCTCCACCCCCATCGTTCTGCCAGGACACAGAGGTCCAGCTCCGAGGGCCTTCCGGCAGTTCCCTCACTGCGAGAAGTGAGGTTACAGGGAACCAGGCAGAGGGCCTTCTCGGTAGTGGCGCCTGCCCTGTGGAACGCCCTCCCAGCAGATGTCAAGGCAATAAACAACTATTTTACTTTTAAAAGACAACTGAAGGCGGCCCTGTTTAGGGAAGTTTTTAATGTCTGGTGCTGTATTGTTTTTAATATTCAGTTGGAAGCTGCCCAGAGTGGCTGGGGAAACCCAGCCAGATGGGTGGGGTATAAATAATAAATTATTATTATTATTATTATTATTATTATTATTATTATTATTATTATTATTAGCTGGCTTCATGGTTTTTCGCACACAGTGATTCTTGCATAGTACACAAACACACATACACACGTCATGATTCGTGATACATTTCCAGGTCAAAAATTATGAACCCAATATCATTCCACCTGCCTTGCCCGCCCCCCTCCCCCCCCCCCAGCCCTGGGAGCCCTCATAAGGAATCTGTGCCTGGAGGAAGAACTGTGAGGGAAGAGACTTCATCAGGTAAGGCCTTCTTCCACCTGCGTTGCCTCACCCTCAAGTCTCTGCTTCTCAATTTGTATTGTATTATTTTATGCACTGTGGTTTGCCGTTGTTTTATCGATTGTAGTTTAGAAATTATTTATTGTAATTGTTAAGAGTGGATTTCTGTTTAATTTTTAAATGCTGATATTTAATATTACTCTATACTATTCTTTGAAGCATTCTTTGAATGAATTGAATGCAGATTTCCAAAGAATAGCAAGGAGAGACAAGAAGGCCTTCTTAAACGAGCAATGCAAACAAATAGAGGAAAACAACAGAATGGGAAGAACCAGAGATCTGTTCAAGAAAATTGGAGATATGAAAGGAACATTTCGTACAAAGATTACCATAATAAAGGACAAAAGTGGTAAGGACCTAACAGAAGCAGAAGACATCAAGAAGAGGTGGCAAGAATACACAGAAGAATTATACCAGAAAGATATGGATGTCTCGTACACCCCAGGTAGTGTGGTTGCTGACCTTGAGCCAGACATCCTGGAGAGTGAAGTCAAATGGGCCTTAGAAAGCACTGCAAATAACAAGGCCAGTGGAAGTGATGGTATTCCAGCTGAACTATTTAAAATTTTAAAAGATGATGCTGTTAAGGTGTTACACTCAATATGCCAGCAAATTTGGAAAACTCAGCAGTGGCCAGAAGATTGGAGAAGATCAGTCTACATCCCAGTCCCAAAGAAGGGTAGTGCCAAAGAATGCTCCAACTACCGCACAATTGCACTCATTTCACACGCTAGCAAGGTTATGCTTAAAATTCTACAAGGAAGGCTTAAGCAGTATGTGGATCGAGAACTCCCAGAAGTGCAAGCTGGATTTAGAAGAGGCAGAGGAACCAGAGACCAAATTGCAAACATGCGCTGGATTATGGAGAAAGCTAGAGAGTTCCAGAAAGACATCTACTTCTGCTTCATTGACTATGCAAAAGCCTTTGACTGTGTCGACCACAGCAAACTATGGCAAGTTCTTAAAGAAATGGGAGTGCCTGATCACCTCATCTGTCTCCTGAGAAATCTCTATGTGGGACAAGAAGCTACAGTTAGAACTGGATATGGAACAACTGATTGGTTCAAAATTGGGAAAGGAGTACGACAAGGCTGTATTTTGTCTCCCTGCTTATTTAATTTATATGCAGAATACATCATGCGAAAGGCTGGGCTGGATGAATCCCAAGCTGGAATTAAGATTGCCGGAAGAAATATCAACAACCTCAGATATGCAGATGACACAACCTTGATGGCAGAAAGTGAGGAGGAATTAAAGAAACTTTTAATGAGGGTGAAAGAGGAGAGCGCAAAATATGGTCTGAAGCTCAACATCAAAAAAACGAAGATCATGGCCACTGGTCCCATCACCTCCTGGCAAATAGAAGGGGAAGAAATGGAGGCAGTGAGAGATTTTACTTTCTTGGGCTCCATGATCACTGCAGATGGTGACAGCAGCCACGAAATTAAAAGACGCCTCCTTCTTGGGAGAAGGGCAATGACAGGCCTAGACAGCATCTTGAGAAGTAGAGACGTCACCTTGCCAACAAAGGTCCGTATAGTTAAAGCCATGGTTTTCCCAGTAGTGATGTATGGAAGTGAGAGCTGGACCATCAAGAAGGCTGATCGACTTCCGGGTTGACGCGATCTGGAAATGGCGGATCCCCTCCGAGCTGCGGAGGGAATCGGCTCCACAGAGGTTGGGTTTTGCCGCGCCGGCGACGCGGGGACCCGCAGAAACCGTAGGCGCTGAAGCCTACGGACTGGAAGACTCGGTGGGCGCCTTAAGCACCCCCCCGACCCCCGAAAGGGTACGGAGGGCGGTGTGGTGCTGTGAGTCGATCGACACCCCTGTGGAGCGTAGCCGCGAGCCATGACCGGAGAGCGCTGACTTCCTCCCTGAAAATTTGGACTGAAAGAACTAACCCGTGAGTAAAGGGAATTCGGCTTTAAGAAATTTTTCCTTTGAATTCGAGACGACCGGAGGGTGTGTTAAAAGGGAGTCCGCACCCCCCCTAATTACAGACAATTTTTAAGCAAAGGTCAAGAGAACTAAGGCGGGAAAAGATACCTTTACATACTACAAAAGAAACTATCTTCCACAATTTAACAAAAGAAGTGTTGTGCTGGAGAGTGAGGAGAATCTTTCTTTCTTTTTTGTTTGAGAAAATTCCCCCCCCAGGGACCAGGGAGAGTCCCGTGTTTGAGTCTGGTGAAGAAGATTAAGGAGTTTGACAGCTGTCAAAAGAGCTGTCAAATGGACAGATTGAAAGTTTGTTAACTGATATCTCTCTGAACTAAAAGTAAATTGAAACAAAGTTTGAAACAAAGTTGTTGGAGACTTGATAGAAAGAAACATAAAGAGGTTTGGACTGTTGGAAAAAGTTTAAAAAAAGTAACCAGAATCCCTCTAGGGGGATTCTAAAGCTACTACAATGGCTGCAGAAGGAAAATTACAGGCAGAGATAAACAGGATGTTCTTTCTTGTGGGAATTCTGCAAGAGCAGAGTCTGAGTATGAGCAAACAATTAATGACCTTGACTTCAGGAACAAACAACTCTGCGGAATGCATGAAGGATCTGACAGGAAAAGAATCTGCAGCCAAAACAGAAGCAATATTACAAGAAGCGGAGGAAAGAGAGCAAGGAGAAGAGAATGAACAATTGGAAAATACCACCAAAAAGCACATAATGGTGGACTCCAAGGGAAAGGATACTTGGATCACGTGGATCACAACTTTGCAAAAGATGTTAAAGATGAAGGAGGGAGCCCCTGAAGTATCTGGATTACAGGAACTTAAAGGACACAAGAAATATGATTGGGGCCTCCCTTGTGAATATGAAAGACTGGTTGAGTTTTGGCAGCAGTGGTTACCGAGTATCTTGGAGGGAAGGAAAATTGGAGTGATGGAGAATGGATTGCTTCGAGATTTTATGATCGATATAAGAGACTTCCAACAAAATCGGCGGAGAGGAACAGAAAGAGATTTGAAGGCCTCGGACGTGAGAAACCCGGGCTAAAAACTACGGTGGACTTTTATTTGAAAAGGGACCAGTACCTGGGAAGGGGGGAGGGGGAAACAGAAGAGCAAGAACGATGAGGAACTTTGGGTTGGGTGAAAAGGGCCTACATTTAAAAATGGGAAATTTGTGGAAGGGAACTTAGGCCGACCTTAGGAAAGAATTTAAATGTTTATAAGAATTGAGAATAAGAGAAATGGGGCAAATTAAAAAGAGACAGATTAAAAATATCAATTATAGGTTAAAGAGAAGAAACTAAAACTTGCTGAGTTAATTTTGGGAATAGGGATGTATGAAGAGGGGGTGGGGGGAAGTCCGGGGAATAAGGTTAAGAATATAAGGCTTTGAGAACATATCTGTTTTGTTTTTGTTGTATTCTTGTGTGTTTGTCTATAAAAAGTGTGAAAACCTAATAAAAATTATTTAAAAAAAAAAAAAAGATGTATGGAAGTGAGAGCTGGACCATCAAGAAGGCTGATCGCCGAAGAATTGATGCTTTTGAATTATGGTGCTGGAGAAGACTCTTGAGAGTCCCATGGACTGCAAGAAGATCAAACGCATCCATTCTTAAGGAAATCAGCCCTGAGTGCTCACTGGAAGGACAGATCGTGAAGCTGAGGCTCCAGTACTTTGGCCACCTCATGAGAAGAGAAGACTCCCTGGAGAAGACACTGATGCTGGGAAAGATGGAGGGCACAAGGAGAAGGGGGCGACAGAGGACGAGATGGTTGGATAGTGTTTTCGAGGTTACCAGCATGAGTCTGACCAAACTGCGGGAAGTAGTGGAGGACAGGAGTGCCTGGCGTGCTCTGGTCCATGGGGTCACGAAGAGTCGGACACGACTAAACGACTAAACAACAACAACATTCTTACGATTGTTGAATGTTACTTTATTTGATGTAGGTTGCTTATTTTAAAGTTATGTTTTATTATCACCTTTTTGTATTGCATTAGATTGTTATAAGGTGTACATTTTTTGTTTCTTCAGCTTGCAAACTGCCTTGGGTATTGTAAGATAGAAAGACGGTATACCAATTAAAAGTGATGATGATATGGAGTTCAAACTGGTTTTGGACAATATATCAATATATGGCCCAGTGCTAAATGGTGGGGTTCTGAAAATCCAAAATAAACTGAACCACTGCACTACACTGGCCCCGCATTACCAGACTCCCCCATTACCACAGAGTTTTTCTCTCAGCATCTTGAGTTGATCTGCGTTTAGGCCTCGGTCAGTAGCAGCCAAGAATTGCCAGCTCAGGACTGGGGACAGCTGGTCCCAGGTGGCAGCAGGTGGATTGCAGAAAAATAGCTGGTTCTGAGAGAAAGACAGGAGGGGAGAGGGAAAACACACACGGTGAGCCAGGCGAGACCAATTTAGGAAACAGGAGGGACACAGGGCATGAGGCTGGAGGGAAATCCGGGACCATCAAAAGCTTTGGATACAAAGCTGGCCGGGACAATGTCGCAAGAGTTACAAAAACCCAACATGGAACCCTGAAAGTGTTGCTACGTTCCAAGTCCCCTTCATCCCAGGCCCGTCGTTTGCCATGGGGCTAAGGCTGCTGGGATCTGGAGTCCAACAACATCTGGGAGAGCACCATGTTGTCTACAGTGGTACCTCGGGTTAAGTACTTAATTCGTTCCGGAGGTCCGTTCTTAACCTGAAACTGTTCTTAACCTGAAGAACTTTAGCTAATGGGGCCTCCCGCTGCCACCAGAGCACGATTTCTGTTCTCATCCCGAAGCAAAGTTCTTAAGCCGAGGTGGTATTTCTGGGTTAGCAGAGTCTGTAACCTGAAGCGTATGTAACCGGAGGTACCACTGTACACAGAAGCGACTTTCATGTAGGAAGAGCAGGTTGCCTGCGGGGAGAAAAGTCACGGGTTGACACTGTGCAAGACTGCTGCAGGCACATGCCCTGCGCAGTGTTGTGTGCTGTGGAGAACACACAAGGAATGGAGTCCGGAAATAAAAGGCGACCAGCGCCAAAGTTAGTGATTGTTTCTCCAGGGGGCGTTTCCGGGTATCCTCTGAAGCATGGTCGAGGTGTGTGTGTGGGGGGGGTATTTATCTGCCATCTTCCAAACTGGGAGGTTGCTGCAGGCTAAACATGGGCAATGTATCCACATCTAAGTGACAGCAGTTTATATACTGGAATTCTGAATCAAATTATTATTTGCTGCTAAATTAATAATAATAATAATAATAATAATAATAATAATAATAATAATAATAATTTATTTATACCCCGCCCATCTGGCCGGGTTTCCCCAGCCACTCTGGGCGGCTTCCAACAAAACACTAAAATACAATAACCGATTAAACATTAAAAGCTTCCCTAAACAGGGCTGCCTTCAGATGTCTTCTAAAAGTTTGGTAGTTATTTTTCTCTTTGACATCTGGTGGGAGGGTGCCACTACTGAGAAGGCCCTCCGCCTGGTTCCCTGTAACTTGGCTTCTCATAGTGAGGGAACCGCCAGAAGGCCCTCGGCGCTAGACCTCAGTGTATATTTATTCTTATTCTTATTCTTTATATAACACCCTATACCTGCAGGTGTCAGAGTGGTTCACAGAATAAAACCAGAATATAAAACCACAAAGTACATAATCAAAATATTGGGTTGTTGTTAACCCAATAACACACACACACACCCCACAAACATTTTAAAAGGGCACAGGATGTCAACCAAATCAACCAAGGGTAAAGAGGGACCTTTTTGCCTGGCGCCTAAAGGTATATAATGAAGGCAGCAGCCGGACCTCCCTGGGGAGAGCATTCCACAAACGGGGAGCCACTGCAGAAAAGGCCCTGTTCTCATGTTGCCACCTTCTGGAAGCTCACGCTGAGAAGGCACACAAAGAAAGGCTTCAGGTGATATAAATTTATTGTGTACTATTATATTTGAATGGATTGTTGAGTATTACTTTGCTTGACATAAGTGGTTTATTTCAAAGTTATGTTTTTATTATGATTTTTTTGTACTGGATCAGATTGTTATAAGGTTATGATCTTTGTGGTGTATTTTGTTGTTTCTTCAGCTTGTGAACCACCTTATGTATAGTAATTTTAAAAGGTGGTATACAAATTAAAAGTAAAATGAAACGAAATGCTTTCTGGCTAGGGGGTCAACCCTATCCCACAGAGAGGGCTTCCAAAAAAGAGAGAAATGTAGTATGTTTCTTACCGTTGGGTTTGGACTGAACATGAGGTACCATAAGATAGAGGCCCAAGCACTGGACATCTGGTTGGTATTAGAGATGACCACCACTGGCAAAGTGGATGTCTAAGAGGAGAAAGATCACAAATCTTGAAAGAGCAGCAATAAATGCAGATCCCAGACCCTGGGCCAAATTAAAAAGGCCATCGTCCCCATATGACAAATTCTGCTCTCTCCTTGACCAGTATTCACAAACTGGGGCAAAAACACGAAGAAGGCAGTCGACAGATGGGCCTAATGGATCTTCCTTCTTCCCAATCTCCTCTCAGCACCATCTTGTTCTTCTGCAGTGACAAAAATATTCTCAACGAAGATAAGTTTGATCAAACGAAGATTCGGTGATGTTACGCACAAGAGTTAGACAGGGTGCCGGCGTTTGTCACCTGTTTCGCCCGTGAAGAGTCTTGGGCTTTTCAGTAAATTCTCTCTCACGCTTTTAATATATTTATAAACATTCACTGGTGGTACAAACCAAAACTTATTAGTGTTTAAATAAAATAAATGCTTAAGTCAAGAAAGAACTTAGCATATGAAGTGGAAGTATTGATTTTCGTATTTATATTCTCAGAAATTACATAATGAATGTTTAAATGTTAATCAGGTTTTGGTTTATATCACCAGTGAATGTATGTAAACACACCAAAATCTTGAGGGAGAATTTCCCGAAGAAAGAAATTAAATATTGTAGCTGAAGCCAAGAAGGAATGTAACTTATGGACTGTAAGTAGAGACTTTTGTACTTGTCTGTTCAGATATTATTTAGACATTTTATTTAATCTTCATTGATATCTAACCCTTGAGTGTAACATCGCCGACACTTCGTTTGATCAAACTTACTTTTGTTGAAATCTACAGGAGCCTGGCTAAAGGAACTTTAAAGACTGAATCTTCCTTTTGGACACAATTTGATTGAGTTTTCTGTTTGTGTCTTCTGTAGTACCTTGTTCTCTCAATTTCTGGATTATTAATAAGATTTAGAACGTAGAATGGTTTGTTTGGTAGTGTTTTGTGTGCTGCTTATGCGCTGCTTACTTCATACTGGTCTACTATGAGAATTGGCAGCGTAGGTTCATTTCTTCAGTAGGCTCACTTCAAGCAACCTGCCAGTAAGAGGACTGCATTCAACCACAACCAACTCCTAACTTCATCAGTGAGGTCCTCATACCTGCAGCTGACAGGTAAAATCTTGGTAGCAATAGTCCAGGATGAAAGTGATGGTGTGGAGCTCCTCTGTGACAGGCAACAATCCCTGTGGGAGGGAGAATGAGAATTAGCAAAGGCAAGAGGCACACACCTAGCTGAGTGTTATTTTATATAGATTTTTCTGGAACCTTAAAGATTTATTGGGTTGTGAACATCAGATGCGAGAAGTGTTAGAAAAACTGACTACAGTGGTACCTCAGGTTAAGTACTTAATTCGTTCCGGAGGCCCGTTCTTAACCTGAAACTGTTCTTAACCTGAAGCACCACTTTAGCTAATGGGGCCTCCCGCTGCTGCCGCGCCGCCGGAGAAGGATTTCTGTTCTCATCCTGAAGCAAAGTTCTTAACCTGAAGCACTATTTCTGGGTTAGCAGAGTCTGTAACCTGAAGTGTATGTAACCTGAAGCGTATGTAACCCGAGGTACCACTGTATACACACTCCCAAGAGCCATATTTTTCACTCTATTAGATGCACCAGACGATAAGACGCACCTAGTTTTTAGGGGAGGAAAATAAGAAATAAGAAAACAACGCAAAGCATCCTGAGCTAAGAGGGAGCGCTCCTCCATCTTCGCTCAGGAGGCTTTGCGGGGCTGTCCCTGAAGCCAGGAGAGCAAGCGGGATCGGTGCGCACCAATCCCTCTTGCCCTACTGGCTTTCCTCCCGCAAGAGCTGCACGCTCTTTAAAGGGAGCGCGGCTCTTGGGGGCTTTTCTGGGAGGTGGGGGAAGGGACAGAGCCGCGCGCGCTGTCCCTTCCCCCACCTTCCGCAAAGCCCAGGGATAGCCGCACGAAGCCTCCGTAGGGCAGCAGGATGAAGGCTCCCCGCTGCCCTGCGGAGGCTTCACACGGCTAAGCCAGAAGCTAGAACAGCTAGAGGGAGCGCTGCGCAGCGATCCCGCTGGCTGTCCTGGCTTCTTCTTTAGCCGCACGCAGCCTCTCCTGGGCAAGGGGAGCCTTCATCTCCTGCCAGGGAAAGGCTGCGCAGCTAAGGCTCCCCCAAGAGCCGCGCTCCCTTTAAAGAGCATGTGGAGTGTGTGTGCGGCTCTTGGGGGCTTTTCTCCGAGGAGGGAGAAAGGCAGCCCTTCTCCCTCCTCGGGGAAAAGCCCCCAAGAGCCGCACACACGCTCCACACAGCTCTTTAAAGGGAGCGCTGAGCAGAACCTCCCGCCTGCATTCGCTCCATAAGACGCACACACTTTTTAGGAGGGGAAAAGTGCGCCTTATAGAGCGAAAAATACAGTACTTAGGTGTGTCTGGGCCAAAAAGGCCATGAAATACAGTACGATGTCAGTTTATTGTGATGAGGGTGCCCCAAGCCTCCAAGCAAACTAACTCTACTGTATGCATTGTTGTATTCCCCCCCCCCAATACATTTGGCTTTCAGTTTATTATCAAGTTGTTCTGTATTTTACGGATTCACAAGTCCCTTCAAGACATCTTCCTGTGGAAAGTGATGGATGAATAGAATAAAAGAAATAATGACAGAGCACACTTAACTTGAAAAACACTTTTCTGTCTGTACTACGTCTGACTAAGAGCCTTGGATTTCCAGCAGCCAATGGAAAACCCAGGTTGAGAGATGGCAATATCGTACCTAAGTCTGCGGAGAACTGAGGCCTTCTCTTTAAAATGCCTGTTATCAGATAGAAACCCTCTGATTACACACTAGCATGATTCTGTGCATCAGCTATTAAAAGGTAAAGATACCCCTGACCGTTAGGTCCAGTCGCAGACGACTCTGGGGTTGCACGCTCATCTTGCTCTATAGGCCGAGGGAGCCGGCATTTGTCCGCAGACAGCTTCTGGGTCATGTGGCCAGCATGACTAAGCCGCTTCTGGCGAAACCAGAGCAGTGCACAGAAACGCCTTTTACCTTCCCGCCGGAGCGGTACTTATTTATCTACTTGCACTTTGACGTGCTTTCGAACTGCTAGGTTGGCAGGAGCTGGGACTGAACAATGGGAGCTCACCCTGTTATGGGGATTAGAACTGCTGACCTTCCGATCAGCAAGCCCTAGGCTCAGTGGTTTAGACCACAGCGCCACCCAAGTCCCACGCATCAGCTATTACGCACAGGGAAATCATGATAAATCAAGGGCAGCAAGCCTTATAGAGGCGGCATCATCATCATCATTATTATTATTTCCCTTATGAATCTTGCGTTTTAGACACACGACAATCCAGTGTTCAACTGGATTGTTTCAGTAGCAGCTAAAATTCGAGTTGGTTAGCGACACTTGTCTGTTTTTATTCCGGCTTGTTCTTATAACTATTGTATCTTGCTTTTATAATTGTTTTTTTAGCCATTTTAAAACTGCTGGTCTATGGCCGTAATAAACTGATCGGATCGGACTGGTGTGCTTACAAAGCCACCCCACTAAGCCTGCTCGTCCTGTAAGCAGCAGCAATAGCACTGCTGGGAGGCCAGAAAGGAGCCACATCACGGCTGCATTGAGCCAGCCACTCTTGGGAAAGGCAAACCCACCTCACTGAGGCCTTTGCTGCCCTTGCCTTTGCCCAAACCGCTTTTCTGCTCCTTCAGCATCTGCAAAGAGAAGAAGAACCACATGTTTACAGGGCTGGAAGCAACCAGATGCCATCATGCTGGGCAGCACCCCCTGGCAGAAGTCAAAGCTGTTCTCATGCCTCTGAGACAGGGGTCAGCAACCTTTTTCAGCCATGGGCTGGTCCACCGTCCTTCAGATCATGTGGTGGGCCGGACTATATTTTTTTTTGGGGGGGGGGATGAACGAATTCCTATGCCCCACAAATAACCCAGAGATGCATTTTAAATAAAAGCACACATTCTACTCATGTAAAAACACCAGACAGACCCCACAAATAACCTAGAGATGCATTTTAAATAAAAGGACACATTCTAAAAAGGTAAAGGGACCCCTGACCATTAGGTCCAGTCGTGACAGACTCTGGGGTTGTGGCGCTCATCTCGCTTTATTGGCCGAGGGAGCCGGCGTACAGCTTCTGGATCATGTGGCCAGCCTGACTCAGCCGCTTCTGGCGAACCAGAGCAGCACACGGAAATGCCGTTTAACTTCCTGCCAGAGCAGTACCTATTTATCTACTTGCACTTTGGCGTGCTTTTGAACTGCTAGGTTGGCAGGAGCAGGGACCGAGCAACGGGAGCTCACCCCGTCGCGGGGATTCGAACCGCCGACCTTCTGATCGGCAAGTCCTAGGTTCTGTGGTTTGACCCACAGCGGCACCCGCGTCCCCAGACACATTCTATTCATGTAAAAATACACTGATTCCTGGACCGTCCGCAGGGTGGATTGAGAAGGCAATTGGGCCGGATACGGCCCCCGGGCCTTAGGTTGCCTAGCCCTGCTCTAAGAAGATCCATCTTCGTGCAAACGTAGACCACAAAGGGTGTTGCAAGCTCGGAGGAGGAAGAACAGAGAGTGACTCACTGAGAAATGGGAGCCTGGTAATCATTATTAAAGGGGGAGAGGAGCGAAGCTACAGCAAATGAATGTCAAGGCCCAATTGATGGTAGGGAAAAGCTCAATCATAACCTGCCTGTGATTAAGGCCAGTGGGTGTTGCTGTTGGTTTTATTTATGGGGGGGGGGCGTTAAAGAAATGAGGCACCAGGACTAATCTCTCTATAAAAGTGGCTGTGGGTCCTAGCACAAAATGGCTGCTATAGGGAAGAAGAGGCAGTGTGCTCCATACGTGTACTAAAAAAAACACACACACCAAGGCCCATACATTATGTTCCTCCCCACTTCCTGCCCCAGAAAGACACTTCACTAGGCTTAAGTCTTCTTCATAAATATTTAGGCCTCCTAGCAGGTCCCAAATGGGGGAATACAGTGCTCTTTCCCAGGCTTCATGAGCTAGAGTAGGGAAAGTCAATTAAAAAAATAAATAAATAACATATAAAACACATATATATATTTACACGATACACATACACAACATACTACCTTATTTCCATAACATAAAACATACCTACATTACTCTATATAATATCTACCTATACTGTACATATTAACATACCTACACACCTACCCCACACGGACACCCACCAAGTGACTTGACTTCCACCCATTCTTGTTATGCTACTTTATTTTTCCAACTAGCTTAAACACATTTCATTATTTGTTTAATCTCTTCTTCTATCTTGACTTTCCTTTCACTCTAATCATTTTCACTCAGTATCTGTCCAGAAATTCTACTTTTTCCACATAAATTTTGATGTGATAGCCCACTCCTTATTCACTTTTTGTACCATATCTCCTCTTCTCCTCCCTGTTAGTTCGGCAATATGGAAGTTTCCATCATTTTAGATAACAGTCTGTTTTAGTTGGGACGCCTGCTACTTTTCCAATTTTTGGCAATCAATATACCTTACCTTAACCTTGCCGCCGTAGTTGCATACATAAATATATCTATAACGAACTGAAAAAGATGTTTAGATTTTCATTTGAAAAAACCCCAGAATCCTTTCTCCTAGGTATTATGTCAGAGGAAATAAAAAGAACGGTCAGGGAAAGTTAATTTTATTCTTTTTCTTATTACTACTACTACTACTATTTATTAAATCTGTGTATCACCCTATACCCGCAGGTCTCAGGGCAGTTCTCAATATAAAATCACAATATAAAAATACATAATAAAAATCAAAACAAGAATGGCCCAATATCCCCCCCCCAACACATTTATTGTTTGAGCCACATAGAATGGAGGGGAGGAAAGTCTCAAAAAGAGCTGGCCAAAATGTCTTCCATATTTATTTTGCCGCACCTTGTTCAGAATTGTGTGGCAACCACAGGACGACAAAATTGGGGTAGGTGGGTGGGGTTTGAGGCAGAGGGTAACTGTGAGTCATCCCAGAGCTCAAGACTTGAATTGTCAAGTCTTTCCTCCACCACAGCTGCACAAACACAAATTCCCATCCCAGAGCTGCAAACAAACAGGAGTTTTGCATCTCCCCCATCACCAGGCCCTTACAATGTACTTGAAGTCACAGATGAGCCCTCCACCTGGGGCCGGTCCATCACCATGGTTTTGGTGGTTGACGACAAGATGTTGAACCTCCGAAACCTACAAATGAGAGGGGGAGAGGTTTTAAAAAGCACACACACACACACACACACGTAATCTGTGAAAGCTTGTCATTATCAGATGGCCAGTAACAAGTTTATAGTCAGGTGGAGTTTTATTGTTATGCTATTCTGCTCAAGAAGGGACACGGGTGGCGCTGTGGGTTAAACCATAGAGCCTAGGGCTTGCCGATCAGAAGGTCGGCGGTTCGAATCCCCGCGATGGGGTGAGCTCCCGTTGCTCGGTCCCTGCTCCTGCCAACCTAGCAGTTCGAAAGCATGTCAAAGTGCAAGTAGATAAATAGGTACCGCTCAGGCAGGAAGGTAAACGGCGTTTCCATGCAGTGCTCTGGTTTGCCAGAAGCGGCTTAGTCATGCTGGCCACATGACCCGGAAGCTGTACGCCGGCTCCCTCGGCCAATAAAGCGAGATGAGCACCGCAACCCCAGAGTCGGCCACGACTGGACCTAATGGTCAAGGGGTCCCTTTACCTTTATTCTGCTCAAACAGCAGAACAGGAAGCCTAGCTGCCATGTTTCCTTCTGCTTGTGTGCACCAGTTCTGGGGTTCAGGTTTCATGAGCAATGACTTGGATTGAGCCTTTTCTACATCCCAGAAGACACCTCCCTGCTGCCAATTCCCCTCCCATGCAAGCGAGCAAATTTCACATCGCCATCTCCCAACTGGTGTGTGTGTTTTGTAGAGGTATTCTGCAACATGCAATCGGATGCAACAATAATACGTTTGTGGTCAATTTGTATTGGACTGTCCAATTGCCATTCCAGTTTATTAGTTGTCCCACGATGCCCCCCCTAATGTTAATTACATTATTGCTGTTTGGAGGGGCCCCCACACTTTGGTGCAAAAAAAAGCAAGATAAACAAACAACAACCTGGAACGTGTTTCTTTGGTACGAAGAGTTATGGGGTTTCAGCAGGAAGTTATGGGAGATGCACTGATTGGAATCAAAGCAATACAGTGGATGCTCAGGTTGCGAACGTGATCCATGCGGGAGGCGCATTCACAACCCGCAGCGCCGGATCTGCGCACGTGCGGGTTGCGATTCGGCACTTCTGCACATGCGCAAAGCATGATTTTGTGTTTCTGTGCATGCGCAAGCACCGAAACCTGGAAGTAACCCGTTCCGGTACTTCCGGGTTTCAGCGCATCCGTAACCCGAAAACGCGTGACCTGAAGCGTCTGTAACCCGAGGTATGACTGTATGTCTACCCTGAAACTTTTGGAGGACCGAAAGCAGGGTTTGCATATGCACACTACAAAAACATCAAGAACACAAATAAGAAAGATGGCAAGAGAAGAGGAAGAGTTTGGATTTGATACCCTGCTTTATCACTACCCGAAGGAGTCTCAAAGCAGCTAACATTCTCCTTTCCCTTCCTCCCCACAACAAACACTCTGTGAGGTGAGTGGGGCTGAGAGACTTGAAAGAAGTGTGACTAGCCCAAGGTCACCCAGCAGCTGCATGTGGAAGAGCGGGGAAGCGAACCCGGTTCACCAGATTACAAGTCTACCACTCTTAACCACTACACCACACTGGCTCAAGGGGCCCAAGTTGCTGGGTAAGCAAAAACCTGCCCCTTCCTCCACCCTGTAGGTGCCAAATCAGAACTTGTACCCCACCACCAGCTTCCCAATGGGCAAGGCTCACTATTTTCCATTGCCTTTCCACAGATGTTGCTTACCTTTCCAAATTAGCAGCGTTCCTGCAAGAGATGAAGAAAAAGAAAGAGTTTTTAGTGGAAGATGACCCAGCCCAATGCCCTCCCCACAGTCGCACCACTGCAATCTTCAGCCCTGCCCTTGCGACTATAAAACAAAAACAAACCTTGGCACTTCACCAAGAGGAACCCACCGGTCGATCTCAATCTTCACTTCCATCGGGTGGTTTCGATCCAGGCAGCTTCACCAGGAGCCTGAATTAAGTGGCAACAACAGTTTGTTATAACCCACGAGATCGAAAGTGGCAGCGGAGTTTCGCTCCGTAAGGGCAAGTGTGAGCCTGGCTCTGTTTCCTCCTTAAATCTCCATTTTTCAGCAGGACGGAGGATGGGAGCAAATGTAGAATTAGTGGGATCTGGCGCCACCTGCTGTTAGCAACCTTGCCCCAACCCCACTACCAGGCCTCACTGACAGCAGCAGGCCTCTGTCCTTCCTGGACCCAATCTTCCCTGCTCCCTCATTTTAAAATCCAATGGCTTTTATTGCAATGTTCTTTGCTGAATACGTCTCTTGGATGTATCTAAGCAGAAGCCTCCTGATCCAATCACCTCTTCCATCAGGGATGGCGGAAACTGTGACCATCCAAGATGTTGCTGGCCTCCCAAGTCCAATTCATCCCTGCGCTGGGCAGGGGCTGGCTTTGGTCTTTCAAATTTCAGTAACGCCGTGCGCAAGGCCAAAATCCAGCGCCCCATTCCTCCCTCCCGTTCTGCTCAATTCACTAGGTCGTAGTTGCGACGCACCACAGTGCCCCCTAAGCTCAGTGCCCAGTGGGGTGGAAATGGCTGCACTGCCATAATAATAATAATAATAATAATAATAATAATAATAATAATAATAATAATATTTTTATTTATACCCTGCACTTCCCGGTTCAAAAACCAGGCTCAGAGCAACTAACAACAAATTTGAAACACTTTAAAACACTTAATTATAAAAGCAGCATAAATACAGTATAAAACATGAATAACAATAAAAATCAAAAATCAATTAGATAATCCTCAGGGCTAGCTGGCTGAATTGGTCCTACTTGGGCCAGCGAGGAGGCCAGGGGATAATTAGCTGTGGGGTCTCAGAGAGGGTGCTCTTCATAAAAGGAGAGGGGGAGGGAAGAGAAGGGAAGGGAAATAAAAGATCAGGCTGAATTCAAATTAAAGGCCAGGCGGAATAGCTCTGTCTTACAGGCCCAATGGAAGGAGGTTAAATCTTGAAGGGCCCTAGTCTCATGGGACAGAGCATTCTACCAGTTTGGAGCCATCACTGAAAAGGCCCTGGCGGAGGATAGAACTGCCTCTGCCCCCTGGCCATGCTGACTGGGGCCAATGGCAGCCTGACAACAACTGGAGAGCCCCCAGCTGTTCTCAACCTCTGCCTAGTGGTTTTTAATGGCCGCCACCTGGAAGCCACTGCTGGATTAAGGACCTCTCTCCTCACCTGGCACGGACAGAGAACTTGTTGCTGGTTCTCAGCACCAGAGGCCGGCGGTTGGGCAATGGCATGGAAGGCTGAATCTCCACCACAAATGCACTGGGGAAAAAGCAGAAAGATCTTCAGCACCCACAATCTCTCCCTTCTCACTCCTTCTCTCCCTTTATTTGACGGGTGCCCTCCCTTCCTCTTGGCACCTTTTCAAAAGACTGGCAATTTGCTCTTTCAGCCGCTTCTCCTGCTGGGGCAACTGGACCCGCAGGGGATCTCCTTCATAGGACACCTTCTGGCGCAGCTCCTCCAGGGTGCGAAGCAGCAGCAACAAATGGAAGAGGTTCTCAGCACTCCCGGTGAACCTACGGTGAAGGAAAACAGATGGTAGAAGCACAGGCTGGAGGTGCAGGCGAACTTACTGCAGACCTTCCCATTGAGACTTACCACTTCTCCAGTTCTGTCAAGCTGGTGTCACAATTGTCCCCAATACACGCCCGCCGCTGGCAATCTTGCCACACTGCTAGCTCTGCCAGCAGAAAGTCCCTCAGGGTATCGGAGCGGCCTAGCAGTTCGTTGATCCGATCCAAGAGTTCCTGGTAGAAAGACTGTGAATAAGTAAGAGTGTACCCACACACACAGGCCTAAGTGGGGTGGCAGAGGGGGCAAGGCATCACTGGAGGGTCCTACGGTCCCTGGTACAGTGAAGACATTGAGAAAGATACATACATCACAAGCGTACAGTGGTACCTTGGTTCTCAAACTTAAACCGTCCTGGGAGTCCATTTGACTCCCAAAACTGTTAGAAGGTGGCTTCTGATCGGCTGCAGGAATTTCCTGCACTCAAGCGGAAGCCGCGTCGGACATTCAGCTTCTGAAAAGCGTTCGTAAACCAGAACACTTACTTCCGGATTTGTGGTGTTTGGGAGACGATTTGTTCGACAACTAAGCCGTTCGGGAACCAAGGTACCACTGTATTTTGGGAAATGATACATGACGAGATAAAAAAATATGTTTAAAATTAGCATGGGAAAAAACAACCACCCTGAACTATTTCTGTTAGGGATTATAGGGGCAGAAATACAGTGGTACCTCGGGTTAAGTACTTAATTCGTTCCGGAGGTCCGTTCTTAACCTGAAACTGTTCTTAAGCTGAAGCACCACTTTAGCTAACGGGGCCTCCTGCTGCCATTGCACCACCGGAGCCCGATTTCTGTTCTCATCCTGAAGCAAAGTTCTTAACCCGAGGTACTATTTCTGGGTTAGCGGAGTCTGTAACCTGAAGCGTATGTAACCTGAAGCGTATGTAACCCGAGGTACCACTATACCCGCAAAAATTGTTATTTATGTATGTAACAACTGCAGCTAGGATTCTTTATGCGCAGAAATGGAAGGCAGAAAAAGTTCCCACCAAAGAAGAATGGGTAAGGAAGACTATGCAGAACGGGCAAAATTAAGAGGATCTCATGATGAGTGTTTCATGGAAGAATGGATGCCTTACTCAGACAGTTTAAAGAAATACTATAGTACGCTGAGCTCGAGAACAGGATTTGAGCTACGAGCCACAGAAACGATTAGATTATAATATTGTGGCTACGATTGATAGATAGGAGATAGGAAGCAGCAGAAGGGGAGAAACAAGAACTCCATGGAAAATGGGATGGGAAGTAAAAATAAAAAATAAGAGAAAAGACGAAATTGTGATTTTATTGCATGCGTTAAAAATGTTGAAACTTAATAAAATATCATTGGAAAAGAGAGAGAGAAAGGTAGTGTTCAGACTCACTTTGCGGCAACGGTTCACATTATTCACCATGTCCTGCAACGCCCGTGTTCTTTGGGCTGCAGCCTCAGGAGTGGGCGTACTTCCTGCAAGAGAAAAACTGCATTTAATACCGCGGGTGAGGTCGGCGGTAGCTACTTCCAAGCCAAGAAGGACCCACCGGAAGCTGCCAACTATTGCCTCGGGGAAGTTCAGTTCCTGGCGTCTCGCCAGCCAGCAAGGGTAGGCAGGAAACACAAGGCACATTACGGATGTGCTTCCTTTGTGGGTTCTTTATAATAATTTTATAATAATAATAATTTATTATTTATACCCCGCCCATCTGGCTGAGTTTCCCCAGCCATTCTGGGCGGCTCCCAATCAAGTGTTAAAAACTACAGCATTAAATATTAAAAACTTCCCTAAACAGGGCTGCCTTCAGATGTCTTTTAAAGATAAGATAGCTGCTTATTTCCTTCACATCTGAAGGGAGGATGTTCCACAGGGTGGGCGCCACCACCGAGAAGGCCCTCTGTCTGGTTCCCTGTAACCTCACTTCTCACAATGAGGGAACCGCCAGAAGGCCCTCGGCGCTGGATCTCAGTGTCCGGGCTGAGCGATGGGGGTGGAGATGCTCCTTCAGGTATACAGGACCGAGGCTGTTTAGGGCTTTAAAGGTCAGCAACAACACTTTGAATTGTGCTCGGAAACGTACTGGGAGCCAATGCAGCTCTCTCAGGACTGGCGTTATGTGGTTCTGGTGGCCACTCCGTCACCAATCTAGCTGCCGCATTTTGGATTAATTGCAGTTTTCGGGTCACCTTCAAAGGTAGCCCCACATAGAGCGCACTGCAGTAATCCAAGTGAGAGATAACTAGAGCATGCACCACTCTGGCAAGACAGTCTGCAGGCAGGTAGGGTCTCAGCCTGCATACCAGGTGGAGCTGGTAGACAGCTGCCCTGGATACAGAATTGACCTGCGCCTCCATGGACAGCTGCGAGTCCAAAATGACTCCCAGGCTGCGCACCTGGTCCTTCAGGGGCACAGTTACCCCATTCAGGACCAGGGAGTTTGGCTTTCAGTCACTGTTTTGGTCTGACAGTAACTTTCTCTTTCCTTGCTTTGCAAAAAGTCCCGTCAATAAATAAGTCTTCAAAGTGCCTCAATTTAATTTTTTTGTTTATTTGTTGCCACAATAGATTGGCATGGCTCGCCCACTAGAGTTTGTAAAGGGGAGATTTGAAAGACGGAGGCATCTACAGAATCTAAGCTGGGAGATCAGAGACACCACAATGGTTCGGCACACAGACAGACAGACAGACAGACAGACACACACACACACACACACACACACCCCTGCCAGCTGTTTTTAGGCACGTGGCATGGAAATCAGAAGACAGGAAGGCAAAGACTGTGGACTTTGCAAGAGAAATCAGGGCAAGCTGTCTGTTTTCAAAAGAGAACATCCCCAGCAATTAAGGACAGTTGACGAGAACAGTTCTCCTCCAATCTTAGCCATGCCTCTGAATACCAGTTGAAGGAAATCACAGGTGGATGGAGGACTGTGTTCTGATTGCAGACTTCCCAAAGGTATCTGATTGGCCACTGGGAGAATAGGATGCTGGACTAGGTGAACTCTTCTTGTATTCCTCACCCAACATCTGGTGCGTCTTGTAACGGAAGTCAAAGGCATCCTGCAGATCTTCAAGGTGGCCTACGGAACATTTCAGACCCTATGGAGCAGAACCAGGTGGCAGTCTCAGTCAAAGTAAGCAACTCCAGGAACCAGGGGTGCCCTGCCTGCATGAAAACCCACCCTGAAGAGCAAGAGCTAAACAGCAGCCCACCCACTCCTACACCGGAGAGCCTGTCTGTTTTCTAAGCGGCCTCGGCCCAGTATACCTGAAGGAGCATCTCCACCCCCATCGTTCAGCCCAGTCACTGAGGTCCAGCTCCGAGGGCCTTCTGGCAGTTCCGTCACTGCGAGAAGTGAAGCTACAGGGAACCAGGCAGAGGGCCTTCTCGGTGGTGGCACCCACCCTGTGGAACGCCCTCCAATTAGATGTCAAGGAAATAAACAACTATCTGACTTCTAGAAGACATCTGAAGGCAGCCCTGTTTAGGGAAGTTTTTCATGTTTGATGCTTTATTGAGTTTTTAACATTCTGTTGGGAGCCGCCCAGAGTGGCTGGGGAAACCCAGCCAGATGGGCAGGGTATAAATAATACTATTATTATTATAAAATTATTATTATTAGTAGTAGTAGTAGTAGTACAACCAACTCTTGCCAGACTAGCAGCTGCCTGTTCCCAAAACAGGAGTGAAGGGATGCAACTACCCCCTTTTTTAAAAAACAGGAGGTTGTGAGAAAAACTGAAGTGTGTGGGACAGGGAGCGCATTGTGATCTGTGTGGCAACAGCAAGGAGGAAGATGTTATGGCAAGACCTCTAAAAGGCCCCCTTCAAATACTGCCCCAGTAAAGTCCCATGATTTCTGCCGGGGCAGCATTTGAGGGCCTCACATAAGACCCGCCATCAGGTCGCTGCCTCCACAACCGGGTAAATTGAGGGGAAAGTCTCAGACCGCTCCTGAAGGCATCAACAGACACAAACAGGGTCTGAACTTTGCACTGGACTGAGGAGCCAACGGAAACGACACGTTTTCTCTTGGGGGGAGGCTGACAATCCATTTTTCCAAGCTTCTTCCAAGTCAAGTTGTAGGGGTGAGACCCCCATTATTTACTTTTGAGGGTCCCCCTCCCAATTTCCCTTAAGCAGGGGAATGGCCTAGACCAGGAGATATTTACCACAGGGGCTAAACCATTTCAACACTCAGCCGATTTGTATAGGGCTACAGGAAGTATTTGCTGTTCAGGAAAAAAGCATTTCTCTCTGTAAGCTCCCTTCAAGCTTCACGTTTACCAAACCGCACATTGGCTCTGCCCCAAGTTGGCGAGGCTCTTCCAGCAGAAGCTTTTCCAGCAGAGTTGGCGAGGCTCTTCCAGCAAAGCTTTTCCAGCAGAGATTCAGCAAGCGCCTTCTGTTTCAACCTTTAAATGCCGGCTGAAAACCTTTCGATTCTGGCAGGTTTACGCAGGCGATTCAGAACTCATCTTTCCATGACCGTTAGCTGATGAGCTACAGTTTTAATTTTTGCGTGTGTGCTTTTATTATATGCAGATACTTTTGTAAACGGTTTTGATATTCTTAATGATATAGGGGGATGAAAATGATATAGTGGGAGGAAGAGCCCAGTCACCCACCACTTACATTTGCATCCCTCTATTAAAAAAATTACAATATGCAAATATTATGCAAATATGCCCATGCCCTGAGAGCCATCTGAACACCCAGCAACATGCCTGGGGGAAAAGGAAGCCTAAGGTAAAGGGACCCCTGACCATTAGGTCCAGTCATGACCGACTCTGGGGTTGCGGCACTCATCTCGCTTTACTGGCCGAGGGAGCCGGCGTACAGCTTCCGGGTCATGTGGCCAGCATGACTAAGCCGCTTCTGGCAAACCAGAGCAGCGCACGGAAACGCCGTTTACCTTCCCGCCGGAGTGATACCTATTTATCTACTTGCACTTTGACATGCTTTCGAACTGCTAGGTTGGCAGGAGCAGGAACCGAGCAACGGAAGCTCACCCTGTTACGATAATAATAATAATAATAATAATAATATAAAAAACTAAATTAAACCCTGCAACAGGTCATGGGAGGGGAGGGGGTCTGTACAAATACACTGCATTTATATCAGCTATAGCTCCTGGCATCTACTGCATGAACAGGGTCAGGAAGAGGATCACAGCATATTGCACACAAAATGGGTGGCGTACAGGATCCGTTGAATTAACACATCCGAGAATTGGAAATCCCTGCAAATAACACTGCAACGAAAGGGAAGCAACCCAGCAGGTATTACACACGCACTCTCACCTGAATCGCCCTTCGCATATCCATGAGCCGGCTCTCAATGTTGTGATGTGGGTTGAGGACCACAGAGGCACTGGGGGGTGGTTCCACCCGTGCCTGCAGAGGGAGGGAGAGGAAAGAAAACAGACAGACTTGGAAACTATGCACTGGTGCTGAGGATCATCACTGCAGAAGGCACACAGAGAGAGTATGTGCCTAGGATTGCCCATCTTCTCCAGTTCCACGCACACAGAGAGCAAGCCTGTTGTAGAGCCCCAAAGCTGTCAGCCATTTTCAAGTTTCTAGCCCTCACTGTTGTGAAAATTCATTTGAAAAACAAATTCAAAAGGGACTAACCACCTGCACCTTACGTGAATACTTCCCTGCTCTTCTTTCTGTCAACCACACATCACTGCTCTTATTACTCGCTTATCTGGACCATTCTTCTATTCGCTACCGTAACACCAGTGTGTGAGTGAGAGAGAGAGAGTGAGCGCAGATTTGGCAAATTTTCCAATGCCAAGCTCAGTTCTAAGATGCAAACTGAAAACATGGATGCAAAAAAAGCAAGTAAAGGCATCTCACAGTACAGTGGTACCTCAGGTTAAGTACTTAATTTGTTCCGGAGGTCTGTTCTTAACCTGAAACTGTTCTTAACCTGAAGCACTACTTTAGCTAATGGAGCCTCCTGCTGCTGCCGCGCCGCCAGAGCACAATTTCTGTTCTCATCCTGAAGCAAAGTTCTTAACCCGAGGTACTATTTCTGGGTTAGTGGAGTCTGTAACCTGAAGCATCTGTAACCTGAAGTGTATGTAACCTGAGGTACCACTGTACAATTTAGTAACTAGGATGGCTCACTTTCAGTGTAAATCAGGGGTCGGCAACATGTGGCCCATGGGTCAGACGAGGCTCACAAAGAGCGTTTTACCAGCCCATGAGCCACCTCCGAACAGAGCCGTGCCGGAAATTGCGTCTGCGCACGCACAGATACCGGAAATCGCATCTGTGCATGTGTGATTTTCGGCGTCTGGGCATGTGCAGAAGCGATTTCCGGCACCGCAGACATGCTCAGATGTGATTTCCGGCATTGCACTGTGCCAGACCGAGCCACGGACGATCTCTGTGGGAGTGATTCGGCCCATGGCCGGCAAACCTTGCCAACTCGTGGCATAAATACAGTGGTACCTCGGGTTATATATGCTTCAGGTTACATACGCTTCAGGTTACACACTCCACTAACCCAGAAATTTTGCTTCAGGATGAGAACAGAAATCGGGCTCCGGCGGTGTGGCAGCAGCAGGAGGCCCCATTAGCTAAAGTGGTGCTTCAGGTTAAGAACAGTTTCAGGTTAAGAACGGACCTCCGGAACGAATTAAGTACTTAACCTGAGGTACCACTGTACACTGAAAGTGAGCCATCCTTTTGAATCATGGTGCTGGAGGAGACTCTTGAGAGTCCCATGGACTGCAAGAAGATCAAACCGATCCATTCTGAATGAAATCAGCCCTGAGTGCTCACTGGAAGGACAGATCGTGAAGCTGAGGCTCCAATACTTTGGCCACCTCATGAGAAGAGAAGACTCCCTGGAAAGACCCTGATGTTGGGAAAGATGGAGGGCACAAGGAGGAAATGGTTGGACAGTGTTTTTGAAGCTACCAGCATGAGTTTGACCAAACTGTGGGAGGCAGTGGAAGACAGGAGTGCCTGGCGTGCTCTGGTCCATGGGGTCACGAAGAGTCGGACACAACTAAACGACTAAACAACAACAACAAATTTTAGTGTTCTGTTGGAAGATGCCCAGAGTGGCTGGGGAAACCCAGCCAGATGGGTGGGGTATAAATAATAAATGATTATTATTTTATTATAAGCGAGTTTCTCTTACCCGCGACCCGGCCAAGGCTTCTGCGAGGATCCCTTGCTCTTCTCTCAGCAAGCCATCGATGAAGTTGGCCAGTTGCTCTGGATGATCTTGATACTTGGCCTGGAAGGAAAGGCCACAGCAAAATGGCCCAAAAGGACATGCAAGCATGCTGCAACAATCAGTACTGACAGGAGAAGGAGGCACTTCCCACATTCAATCAATCAATCAATCAATCAATCATTTAATCCCTGCTAGAGAAGAATGGGAATTAAAGTTAAGCGAGTACTTGGAACTCGCAAAAACGACCAAATCATTAAGGAATAAAGCAATCGATGTAGTCCAAAAGGAGTGGGAAGGCTTTAACACTTGTCTAATGAGACAAGGTTCAACAAGCAAAATATGTGTTTCCTTATACCAAGATGAGGACAGGAATTGAAATATGGGGGGGGGGCATATCAAATAGATAGAATGAATTGTGGAGAGGTACAGTGGTGCCTCGCAAGACGAAATTAATTTGTTCCGCAAGTCTCTTCGTCTTGCGAGTATTTCGTCTTGCGATGCACATGTCCTGGACCTCTTCTGAAGGCGGGCGGGGGGCGAAAGTCTTTGCTTCCCCCCCCTTCAAAAGCTGTCCTGGACAGGCTTCACGGACCTCTCCGCAAGCAGCGGGAGCGCTCCCGCTGCTTGCGGAGAGTTGCCAGCATGCCGTAGCCTGCGCGCGCTGAGATCAGCGCGCCCAGGCTTCGCGGCCCCGCCGCCCGGCATCAGAGCTTCGTTCCGCAGCCGGGCGGCGGGAGGAGGCGTTCCCGCCCCGCCGCCCGGCTTCGGAGCTTCGTTCCGAAGCCGGGCGGCGGGAGGAGGTCCGAGGACAGTGGGGAAGACGCGCTGCGCTTCCCCGCTGTCCCGGAGATTTCCCTATGGGCTTTCGTCTTGCGAAGGAAGCCCATAGGGAAATTCATTTTGCGAAGCGCCTCCAAAACGGAAAACCCTTTCATCTAGCGGGTTTTCCGTCTTGCGAGGCGTTCGTCTTGCGGGGTACCACTGTAGATGGAAGTTGAAAATAAATAGGATAACAAAAGAGATCTGTTCCAAAAGGGAAAGTATTTTGTTTGAGAACTGATGTTTTGGATAGTATTGTATAGTTAACTTCATTTCATTTTTGTTCATGATTTGCTTTTCTTTTCTTTGCTTTTTCTTTTTTCTCCGGTTTTTGTTTATTGCTTTTTTGTTTTCGGTAGATTTGTTTGGTATGTAGAGTCTTGTTTGTATTTGCACAAAACTCAATAAAAAATTGAAGGGGGAGGGAATAAATAATAATTTATTTATTTTCTTTCTATACCGCCCTATACCCGAAGGTCACATCACAACCTGACATCTGTCCTTGTGGAATTCTCTGCTTCTTGCATTTCATATTTTCAATCTCTCTTTACTCATGCATGTGTGTGTAACATACATAAATATGAATCCCCTACCTCTCCCTCCCAGGGACGCGGGTGGCGCTGTGGGTTAACCCACAGAGCCTAGGGCTTGCCGATCAGAAGGTCGGCAGTTCGAATCCCCGTGACAAGGTGAGCTCCCGTTGCTCGGTCCCTGCTCCTGCCAACCTAGCAGTTCAAAAGCACGTCAAAGTGCAAGTAGATAAATAGGTACCGCTCCGGTGGGAAGGTAAACGGCGTTTCTGTGCGCTGCTCTGGTTCGCCAGAAGCGGCTTAGTCATGCTGGCCACATGACCCGGAAGCTGTACGCCGGCTCCCTTGGCCAATAAAGCGAGATGAGAGCCGCAACCCCAGAGTCGGCCACAACTGGACCTAATGGTCAGGGATCCCTTTACCTGTACCTCTCCCTCACTGCCAACTGAGAATATATTGAAGATATTAAAGATATATCTCAACGTATACGATAAAGTGGGCTTCAGTCCACATAGGTATTTTCCACAATACAACACACACAAATGCACGTATACATTCAGACTCATCCCATTCTTCCAATTATGAAATTGTTTCAACCAATTTTAATTTTGCATTTTGTGTGTGTGTGTTTGTGTGTAATAATTTTTATTAAATTCTCTGTTTCACAATTTCAAATAAACATTTTACAAACTTTAGAATATCCAGTGACTTCTCTTCTTCTCTTTCCATGGTTCATTTTACATATCACATACATCCCTGCATATTTTACTCTAACCATTCAAATCACTGTTTACATCCATCCAAAATTATTCACTCTGTTGAATTTATCTTAGTGCTGCCAGCGTTTTCGGCTCTACACAGCTCTTTTCCATATAGTCAATAAATGTTTCCCAATCTTCTTTAAACTTTAATTTTGCATTGAGTGGGTAAGAAATCTAAGACACAACAACAGTACAATCCTAGGCCTTCTCAACAGAGGCCTCTCAGCTGCCAAATGCCCTGCCACAAAACTGAGTTCTGCCAGGATTTTGTTGTTGTTGTTCTCACAGACCTTTTAAACTCTGTGATTTTAATCTCAGGTATTATGCTGTATTTAAATGTGGCAGTTGGACTGCACATTTTTAGGCACTGCGTTTACTTCTCAAGATTTTTTAGACTTCACTGATTTCTTTTCAGAGCTGTCTGCCCCACCGAAACAAGGAATATCAGAGAGAGATTGTGTATATTTGAAAACATGGGCATCATTAAGATAAATTCAACAGCGTAAATACGTTTTGATGGATGTAACAATGGAATACTTGAATGGTTTAGTTTTTGTAAAACATGCAGGGATTTATGTTATGCAAGATGAACCATGGAAAGAGAAGAAGGGAAGTCATTGATATTCTAAGGCTGTTTAAATGAATATTCTAAAATGTAAAACAGAAAATTTAATACAAATTATGGGGGGGGCGGAGATTCTCCCTCTATAACCCACCCCCCAAAATCTACTCTTGAGATTCCATCAACATATGGAAAATCACTGGATGCCAAAGCCATTGTTTCTAGCACCAGTGCTACTACAGTCGTACGTCGGAAGTCGAATGGAATCCGTTCCGCAAATCCGTTCAACTTCCAAAACGTTCAGAAACCAAAGCACAGCTTCTCATTAGCTGCAGGAAGCTCCTGCAGCCAATCGGAAGCCCCGTCAGACGTTCGGGTTCCAAAAGAACATTGGCAAACCAGAACACTCACTTCTGGGTTTGCGGCGTTTGGAAGCCAAAATGTTCAAGAACTAAGCTGTTTGAAAACCAAGGTACGACTGTATATTGAATTTCATTTACATGGATTTTGGGGTCCTAAACTGGTTTTTATAGTTTTGTATGCCTTTGCCTTCTCCACGGCCTCTCTTCCCAGGGAAACATTAGTTCTGCTTTGGTTGTTTCCCTACGGCTCAGCCCTCCAATGTGCATAAAAATTTAACACCCCGGGCCCATACCTGTAGTTGAGTTTGGAGCGGCGCAGGTTGTGCTTGAGGACCATGTTAGAATTGTTTTCTTCCCCCAAAACGAGACGTCCGAGTTGATCGTCGAGCAGCCCCAGCATGGTATGGAAAAGGCTGCAAGCCTGCGAAGGGTCGGATCGTGCCGCTTCATTCCTGAAAGGAACACAAAGGAGAAATGGCAGAGGGAGGGCGAATCCTTGGCTCAAATGAACAAAAACAAGGATATACAGTGGTACCTCTGGATGTGAACAGGATCCATTCCGGAGCCCCTTTCGCATCCTGAAGCGAACTTAACATGCGACGGCGCGTTTTACCGCTTCCGCACATGCGCGTGACATCATTTTGAGTGTCTGCGCATGCACGAGCGGCGAAACCCGGAAGCAACGGCCTTCCGTTACTTCCGGGTCGCCGAGGAGCGCAACCTGAAAATGCTCTACCTAAAACGTATTCATCCCGAGGTATGACTGCAGATCATGGTTTCCCAGCTTAGGCCTCCAGCTGTTTTTGGACTACAGTTCCCATCATCCCCGACCACTGGTCCTGCTAAGCTAAGGATGATGGGAGTCGTAGTAATTTTTTATATAACCGTAAAAACTACAGTGGTACCTTGGGTTACATATGCTTCAGGTTACATATGCTTCAGGTTACACAGTCTGCTAACCCAGAAATAGTGCTTCAGGTTAAGAACTTTGCTTCAGGATGAGAACAGAAATCGTGCAGTGGCGGTGCGGTGGCAGCAGGAGGCCCCATTGGTTAAAGTCGTGCTTCAGGTTAAGAACAGTTTCAGGTTAAGTACAGACCTCCGGAACGAATTAAGTACTTAACCAAGGGTACCAGTGGTTCTTAACCTGAAACTGTTCTTAACCTGAAGCACCACTTTAGCTAATGGGGCCTCCCGCTGCCGCCGCGCCGCTGGAGCACGATTTCTGTTCTCATCCTGAAGCAAAGTTCTTAACCCGAGGTACTATTTCTGGGTTAGCAGAGTCTGTAACCTGAAGCGTATGCAACCCGAGGTACCACTGTACTCTGAAAAATTTAGTACTCCAAAAATGAAACTTCCATCTGGTTGTAAATATTAAGATTATACCAGCAAGAATGAGTCTTTCTGTAAAAAATAATAATGACTGAAATAAAGTCTTACTGACTATTGATTTAAATCGATTTGATTTAAATCAAATCCACCTTGGCCACAAGGGTGCTTTACTTGTCCAAACCAAGAGCAGCTGGTGAGGAGACGCACTACTGCGCACTTGGGACGCCCAGTGACAGAGTCACTGCTATTTGATGGGGGAAATGGGGGGGGGAGGCAGCAAATAAGTTCCAGGGTATGTGGGTGAGGAATGGGAACAACACAACATAAAATTTTGCTTCCCTCATGGGGCTAAAATTCCCAGTGTTCCCTGTGAAGAGGTATCGATTGTTAAACCACTTTGAGAATTGCAGCTCCGTGAATGGAATCGGGGCGTCTCCTAAGAATTCTTTCTTTTTTAAAAAAATAATAATCAGTCTTTATTGGTTTATAAACTACACAGACACACAAAGAAAACAAAACAAAATAAAACACACAGCACATAACTCAATAAAACAGAACAAAACAGTACAACCGATCTCAGTGATCATGGGTAGGAGGAGGAGTTACGCTAAGACCAGACCATGTCATTACCGAGGAGGCAGGTTTAGTCGTTGTCTGAGGACTATTCCTGCCTCCAGGTCTGGTCCTGACCGGAAGGATACTGGAATCAGCAAGGGAAACCCACATGACCTGAAAGTGTTGCTGTGCAATGCCAGGTCAATGATGAATAAAACCACTGCCATCCACGACCTGATTGTGGATGGAGGATTTGACCTGGCATGTGTGACAGAGACCTGGTTGGATGAAGCAGATGGGCCTGTCCTTGCCGCTGCTTGCCCACCAGGCTTCTCTTACGCACAGCAACCCAGGTCATGTGGGCGGGGAGGGGGGGTTGCAGTGATTTTTAGGAAGTCATTAGTCTGCACCAGGCGTCCTATTGGGAAGACCCAGTTCTCTGAGTGCATGTTCTGGAAGTTGGGCAATAGGGGCAGTACAGGATTCCTACTGGTGTACCGACCTCCCCGCTGCACCAAGGATTCCCTGCCCGAGCTGCTTCAGGTCGTGGCGGATATGCTCCTGGAGACACCTAGCTTGGTTGTCCTGGGGGATTTTAACATCCATGCCGACACGACCTTACAAGGGGCCGCTCGGGACTTCGTGGAAAGCATGGCCTCCATGGGGCTGTCCCTGAATAAGTTTGGCCCAACTCATAGCCATGGACATGCCTTAGACTTGGTGTTCACCTCTATGGATGTTGGTGATCTGACACTAACTAAAAGCGAAACAAAAGAAGTGCCATGGTCAGATCACTTCCTGGTGCAACTGGACTTCTCCGCAACCCTTCCCCTCTGCAGGGAGGTGGGACCGATTCGGATGGTCCGCCCCCGCCACTTAATGGATCCAATTGGCTTCCAGAGAGTGGTAGGGGATGCTTTATCCCAAGTTGATGGCCTTTCAGCTGATTCCCTGGTGGCACGCTGGAATGCGGAGTTAACCAGGGCTATTGACTGTCTGGCTCCGAAGCGCCCTCTCCGATTGCATGGAGCCCGGACAGCCCTGTGGTTTTCCCCGGAGCTGAGGGTGATGAAACAATCGTTGAGACGGCTAGAGCGCTGGTGGCGGAAAACTCATTCTGAATCAGACCGGACACGGGTTAGAGCTCAACGTCGAGCCTACCAAGTGGCAATGGCGACGGCGAAGAGGGCCTTCTTCGCCGCCTCCATTGCATCTGCAGAAAACAGCAGCAGGAGACTTTTTCAGGTGGTTCGCAATCTATCGGAACCACCTGTACCACCAGGGCCTGGTAGGGACCCCAAGATCTCCTGCAATGCTTTTGCAAAGTTTTTTGCAGATAAAATCGCTCAGATTCAGAAGGAGGTAGACTCCACCGTGGGAGAAGGGCCAGGGCGGGAGAGTGCTAGAGTTCTGTCTGGTCCTGTTACATGGGATCAATTCCAGTCTGTTACCTCCGAGGATGTGGACAGGCTGCTTGGAAAAGTGAAACCGACCACCTGTCTCCTTGATCCTTGCCCATCCTGGCTGATAAAAGCGAGCCGGGAAGGGCTGGGCGATGGGCTCTGCGGGGTGGTGAATGCTTCCCTCTGTGAGGGAGCCTTCCCAGACCCGCTGAAAGAGGCGGTCATTAAACCACTTCTTAAAAAAACATCTTTAGACCCGGCCAATTTGGCCACCTATCGCCCAGTCTCAAATCTGCCATTCTTGGGCAAGGTGATTGAGCGGGTGGTTGCTGAACAACTCCAAGCACGCCTGGAGGAAACGGACCATTTGGATCCCTTCCAATCGGGATTCAGGTCTCACCATGGGACTGAAACTGCCTTGGTCGCACTGGTTGATGATCTCCGGCGGGCTAGGGACAAAGGTGAGAGCTGTTTCCTAGTTCTGCTGGATCTCTCAGCGGCCTTTGACACCATCGACCATAACATCCTTCTGGACCGTCTAGAGGGGTTGGGAGCTGGGGGCACTGTCATACAGTGGTTCCGCTCCTTCCTCCTGGGCCGTGTCCAGAAAGTGGTGGTGGGGGATGAATGTTCAGACCCCTGGGCTCTCACTTGTGGGGTGCCTCAGGGTTCTGTCCTCTCCCCCATGCTTTTTAATATCTATATGAAGCCGCTGGGAGAGATCATCAGGGGGTTTGGACTGGGTGTTCATCAGTACGCAGATGACACCCAGCTCTACCTCTCCTTTAAATCAGAACCAGTGAAGGCGGTGAAGGTCCTGGGTGAGTGCCTGGAGGCGGTTGGAGGATGGATGGCGGCTAACAGACTGAGGTTGAATCCTGACAAGACAGAAGTACTGTTTTTGGGGGACAGGGAGCGGGTTGGTGTGGGGGATTCCCTGGTCTTGAATGGGGTAACTGTGCCCCTAAAGGACCAGGTGCGTAGCCTGGGAGTCATTTTGGACTCACAGCTGTCCATGGAGGCGCAGGTTAACTCTGTGTCCAGGGCAGCTGTCTACCAGCTCCACCTGGTACGCAGGCTAAGACCCTACCTGCCCGCGAACTGTCTCGCCAGAGTGGTGCATGCTCTAGTTATCTCACGCTTGGACTACTGCAACGCGCTCTACGTGGGGCTACCTTTGAAGGTGACCCGGAAACTGCAATTAATCCAGAATGCGGCAGCTAGACTGGTGACTGGGAGTGGCCGCCGGGACCATATAACACCGGTTCTGAGAGACCTGCATTGGCTCCCAGTACGTTTCCGAGCACGATTCAAAGTGTTGGTGCTGACCTTTAAAGCCCTAAACGGCCTCGGTCCTGTATACCTGAAGGAGCGTCTCCACCCCCATCATTCAGCCCGGACACTGAGATCCAGCGCCGAGGGCCTTCTGGCGGTTCCCTCATTGCGAGAAGTGAGGCTACAGGGAACCAGACAGAGGGCCTTCTCGGTAGTGGCGCCCGCCCTGTGGAACGCCCTCCCATTAGATGTCAAAGAAATAAATAATTACCTGATATTCAGAAGACATCTTAAGGCAGCCCTGTTCAGGGAAGTTTTTAATATGTAACGCTGTACTGTTTTTAACACTGATTGGGAGCCGCCCAGAGTGGCTGGGGAAACTCAGCCAGATGGGCGGGGTATAAATAATAAATTATTATTATTATTATTATTATTATTATTATTATTATTATTATTATTATTACAATAGGAAAACACAAAAATATTTCAGCCATCGATTTCCAACCTCCTAAGAACTCTCAGCATCCATGACAAAGCAGAGCTCTCATAATTCTTTGAGGGTTATCAAGTGGTATTTTTCTTAAAAAGAGAGGTGCCGGAACTGACAATGAACACATCCCTTGTTCTCTTATAATGGAAATGGAGCTCACCTGAGAGGTGCTGGAACTGAGTTACGGCTGGGGGGGAAATGGCCTGGGTATATCATAGTGTGTTAAATGTAGCAGAGCCTAGGACTTGCAGATCAGAAGGTTGGCGGTTTGAAT